AAAGAAAGAAAGAAAGAAAGAAAGAAAGAAAGAAAGAAAGAAAGAAAGAAAGAAAGAAAGAAAGAAAGAAAGAAAGAAAGAAAGAAAGAAAGAAAAAACTTAGTATGTTACTAAATTTTTAAAAAGCTTGAAGTGGAATTTCATTACAAGGGAAAGATTTAGCAGGAAGTAAGGTTACACCAGGCTAAAATCCAAATGATTAATGGCTTGATTTTCAGATGTGCTGAGAACTTATAATTTCCAGATGCTGACTTCAAATTAATTTTTAGGTGCTCAGAATCTCTGCACATCAGGTCCTTAGTGACTAGTCCAAGGTCATAGCAAAAGGGCTGGTGGAAAAACTGAAAACAAAAACTGCCCTACAAAGTCTCTATTCTCCATTTTATAGTTACCTTTAGGAATCCCATTTTAGTGTTTTTAACAATAAAGATTACAGCTAAAATCAAATTTATATTAAGTTGGGCTTTCTCTATACAAATAATAAAAGAATTTCTATCCTAAGACATGACAATTACAGAAGAACTGTTGTTTTTATTGTTACCAGCCTATGTTAAAAGTATGAAACTCGATTACTTGGAAATGTCATGATTTGAATAATATTTGGCAAAGCTGAGATTTGCATGCTTGGTGGAAATGGAAACAACAGCCATAGAAGTTTATCAGTTAGATTTAACCATAGGACAGTGCCTCTGCTATTTAGCTTGCCACACTCTCCACAATCTTCTTTCTTTTCTTCTGCTGCCTCATCCTAATATTTGTCACAGAGGAAACAAGCAGCAAGACAGTCCAGTGGTCCATCAGCTTGATCCGTCAGAACATGAATGTCACCTGCTCAAGCTCTATTATAAAAAATAAAATAGGATGCCAGCATGCTTCAGGGCTTCAGTGCACTTTTTTACCTGTGCTTTCGCTAGCAGCACTGCACGGAGTTTCTTGACTGCATCAGTGATGTCTCTGGTTTCCACAAAGCAGAGGGCACTGCAGATTGTTTTAGCTGCCTCAATCACATTACTCACTCCATGCTGTTGATGAAGAGAAAGAAAGAAAGAAATAATAAGAAAACAAAGGCATACTATTTAATACAAGCACCTTGCTATATCTTGACAGCATGCATGCAGAAAACTGTATCTACACCTCATCATCCAAAACTCAAAACCATCATGCATCAAACTGAGACTGATAAAGCATATTGAGATTGCTAGTCATTAGTAGTTTCTCAACGACAGCATATTTTTTGTCAAAGCCCAGGTACCTTCTAGGAAGCGTGCCTTCCTGAAAATTGTGTCATACTAGGTCTTTCAGAGGCAAAATATTGGTTTGAGGTATACAAATATTGCAAAGGAATTTTTGAGGAATCTCATACTCAAATGATTCATAAACATTCTGAGGCTTTCATGCAACTGTGAGTTTATCCCCACTGTTTTCTACTACTCTTTTCTCTACGAGACGTGGCAGAGATCCACTTTCCCTAAAAAGAGTGGTTGTGACAGGCTGCATTATCTGACACATGTGTATTCAATACTTCGCAATTAGCTTTCAAATAATTGTTTTTTTTTTCCTTTTTTTCCAAAAAATCCTAAATCATGTAGATAACAAACTGAGATTTTTGAATATTACCATAAAAAACACCTAGATAAAACACCTAAAGCATACTCTTTGATTTGATAACAAAATTGCATCCCAAAGGAATTGCCATCACCATAAATATCAAATATCCTATATTTAGCAAAATAAAAAGACAGAAAAAAACAAAAAACAAAACACACACATCTTCATGCACCTGTGCATTTATGATCTTCTAAAAGCTTAAAATACATTCCCTGTACAAGCAGAAGCTCCTCTATTACATATTCTTCATGTTCCAGTATTGATATCCTTTTAGTCAGCTGCAGCATGTCTATGTACTGATAGAACTATTTATATAGCTCATCTATTTCTATGTCTGAAAAAGAAAAATTTCACCAAGATGAACTTACTATTTGTAAGTTCATGGTCTATAACTGAATTGTACTGAGAAAGCTAATACCTGTCACTAAGAAAAGTAAGCACAAAATTTGTTGAGTTTACCTGCACCATGTTTAACTGCCTTCAGTAAAATTAAAGCACTAATAAATTAGATAAATTATCATCAAATATCAGAATTCTTTTAAATGTAAGCATTTTTTTAAATATATATGTAGACTTAAAATAAATAAACCTTTCCATATTACAGGTTTTGGAGGGGAAGCAACAGGTCTGAAAACCGTGGATCTTTCTTCAGTCTGAACCTGATTCACCCTTCTGGCAAATTACAAGGAGCCTTATTTTCCTTTCTCATGTTTATTTCCTATAACTTGGATTTTTAAACTGAACTCTTTCAAATCTTCCTCTCCATGAACATACACACTGCCAATAGAAGCAGGGACTTCTAAAAATAGGATGGCTTTGTTATCACCTATAACAAGGACAAAAAAACTGTAAGTAGACAGGTTTAGTATGCAGTTGTGAAGAATACAACTGCACAGTAAACCAGCTCATATAAAAGTGTTTATGTTGATACACATATACATACAGTTTTGTACAAAAAAAAAGAAGTTAATTATTTTTTAATTCAATGTCTTTCTTCTTCATATGTGGATATGGATTATTAGCGCACACACACAGAATTTTAGGTGTATAAAATAACACATATAGAGAGAGAACTAATTTTGAGTGGAATACTGGCACTATAGGGGTACTGCTTGAATAGGGCAGTAGAGTAGTAGTATACTTCCTGACAGAAGTCGTCCCTAAAGACATAAACCAAAATGTATTTATTTTTTCCTCTCTATATTTAAAGACCAGCAGAACCTTTGAAGGATATTTTGATGCTTATTTATATGATAAATACACTACTTCATTCTAGGACTCCTACACTCACTAGAAAAAGTTATCTTCTACACTGCATAAGTTAGGAAGTTTTCTTAAATGGTGTATTTTGAGTAGATCTCAAAGTGAAGTGCATGCCAAATGATTCCCAGGGCACTCAGAATGTCTGTCTGACTCCACATGCCCTTTAGGAAAAACCTACATATTTCATTTCCAACAGCATCAATTCTATGCCAATTTTTCTTTAGTTGCCTTTTCATTTTGTAAAAGTATTATCCATCACAAAATGAGGTTGTCAATTATTCATTATTGGTTACTAACGCTAGGGACAGTGGGTTTACCAGTAGTCAGAGATCAGGAATAAGTATCTCAAGAATTTTTAACAGACACCCTTGAATGAGGGAATTTGGGGTTTCTTAATGGAAGCCCTCAAGACCTGTCAGAATAAAACTGCATGTTAAATGAGCACAAATTTAAGCATGTATATAGGCACTGAAGTTACTTTACATGGGTAACTCCCATGGGTCTGAAGTTACCAATGCACTGAGGGTGGATTGCAGTGGATCAGAAGAAGCATCCCAAGTCTCCCACTGCAATGAGTCTTGATTTTGAAAATCAACAGAATTATTTCTGTCTAACCTTGGGATGAGAAGAAGTTACAGAGATCAAAATTTAAAATCTTCTTCAATTGATTTAATTAGTCTTCATGTAAAATAAACAATTTGGAATTCAGATAATGACTCAGGAGTTCTCATTCTCTTGTTTCATTCCTTTACTATAAAGTCATGATTATAACTTATTATTGAACCGTAATTTTTCAAGCCATTTATTAAAGCAAACCAGTAACACTAGTTCTCATTATTAAAGGCTTGAAAAAATTCCATAAATTATGATACTCTTGAATAAAAACATTTGCATGGTTATTTAACATATGTCATTAACTTGCAATCCTGCTCGTTTAATCAATTCACATGAACTTTTTTCAGTGTTCTGGTGCAGATAGCATCTTGTTAAAAGTATATATATTTTATTAACTATGAAGAAATTTAGCTCTAGAGCAAAACACACATTTGTTGCATGACATGAATATTTCAGAAGTGTCCTGTCTTCCCTTTATAAATACGTTAACAATCTCAAATAATTGCCTACTCAAGATAAAAGTCTTGAGCAAAACGAAAGGCAAAAACAAACTTAAGAGAGCTCCATTTAAGAGAGAGGGTTTGAGATTACAGCTCCCTTTGCTTTTGAAATCTTTTTACTTTAGGCTCTACCATTTCAAGTGAATGTGAGTAACTAAACTCACGAGTCTTATTCAGTAAAGCTATATATATATCTAAAAAAATATATACACACAAACACACACACACACACGCACACACACACTTTGGAATTCCGAGACCTTATTTTTCCCAAAGGCTTCCATCACATGTTACATACTAAATAGTTTCCCTTTAGAGTTTGCTCACAGAAATAAATTTCAGTGAATGTTTACCCAGCATCAAAATCAGAGCCCTGCTTTGGAATTCGGCACAAGTTGACAGATCTTAAATATGTGTGCATTCTACAAACGAAGTGTAAAAGATTTGCACAAAAATGTAGACTATTTTTATCTAAATATATTTATTTACATATATACGTATATATGCATTTGTGTACATTTTTACATATGGGTGTGTTTCCATGTATTAATATACATATGCACAAATATATATGTATGTGAGTACTCACATACATATATAAACACACTTCTACAGAAACATATATTTATGCGTATACACTTTCTGGCTATTCAAAATAAAAATACCAAGAATATCCAGAAATATCAAAATCTGAACTTCATTATAGGTGACATTTATATTTTGATTTACATTAAAAAAACCCAAACCATTAGCACAATCAGTTATAATACTCTGCAATACATGCATTAGAATATCTCCCTGCCACTACATGCATATTTCTGATTTTTTTAAAACAAAAAAATTCTGTTTTCTTGACAGTTCCAACTCCTAAAAAGACAGTTATATCACAACCCAAAACTCAAAACAAATAACCATTTGGCGTCTTACAAATAAAATATATATTTGTCCTTTTGAGTTCAAATTCTGCCTAAAACAATAGTTAGCAGAGAAGATTTCCTAAGATTTCCTTCGAGCATGGAGCAGTCCTCAAAATTTTAAAAGAAAGCTTTTAATCTAACCCTTCAAACAATCTCATGCTTGAACATATATCTTAAGTAGTTAACACTTTCTTGTGTGTTTACAAAATTAGGGACAATTTTTGCTAAAATATATACTATATTATATAGTATATATACTATAACATGGTGTATAGTATACTATATATACGAGTATATATATATATGTATATCTTTGCTAACTTCCACCACTAAACTGTCAAACAAAACAGTCCTGGTTTTATTTACAGGTTCCTTTATACTATGAAACAGTCACCTTGGACATTTTAAATTGGTAGCACTTTTTTCTTAATCTCAAGTCAAATTTTATTAAAAGAATTTATAACTTTTCCAAGCCAGGTTAAACAGCTTTAATTAAAATTCTCTTTAATTTCACCTAAGACAGATTAATAATTAGATAACATTCACATGGAAGTTAATGCTTTTCTGGTATAACAAACTGAGAATAAATACCTCATTTTGCCATAAATACTCCACTTGATCTCTGTATTTCATAATAATCGAGATAAGGTTCTGCCTGGAAATCGGAAAGAAGAAAACATCAAATTAATAGCAAATGGATGGATAAAAAGAACAGGCCTTTTTCACATTTAATAATCATATATAATTTGACTAATGGTGATTTTATGGATATAATACAACTGTTTATGGACATCATGTAACATTCAGCCCAAATCACTTCACATATTGTATAAAGCTGCAGAGAATCATGCAAAACATCTGCAAAACATCTGGAAAATCTCTACAGTTCAAAAGTCCCTATTAAGTAACATGTATGAAAATGTGCATTAGTAAAAGGGGCACCATTGCCATGAAAATCATTACACTTTTTTTACTTACATTTCTGATGTTGACATTTTCAAACCATTTCAGTGGCTGCTTTTAATCTACTATTAGTTAAGGTATAGATTTATTTTCTTTGCCATTCCATCCAGTTGTGGAAAATGGTTTAACTGATATTCCTCCTGTATGGAGACCTCTGCCATGCTATAATACTGTGCTACCTTTAAGCTACAAATATGATCACAAAATGTATACACGCAGTCTGCTATGCCTCCACAAAGCATCACTAAATTCAGTAGGGTTCTTAACAGGAATACAAACTTTCTAAATCAAATTGCAAGACTGAAGCTACTGCAATAAGCCTCATCCCTTTACAACCAAAAGCTCCAACATACAAGCAGAATCAGACTTTTTAAATAACATTTTTGTCTCTTTCTGCTCCTAATCCTACTGTGCAGTGAGATTCTAGTTAATATTTCCTTGTGGGCTGGAAAAAATGAAAATGTTGCCTATTAAACCCTGGCTATCATTATTGTGCTCAGAAGCACACTTTTGAAGCCTCTTCTAGCACTGAATATTCAGCTGCAGAGAGGGAAATCTTAATTCCCACTCAAACAAAATGACTAACTTATTCCCTGCTAAGACACCATCTTATTGCATTATTGCCTTGACAGTACTTTGTGGTAGGTATCAGGTAGTATGTGAGCTAGTAAGAAAAATGGAAGTTTCAAATTTACACTCCTTCCTCAGTGTTTTTTTTTTTTTTTTTTTGATTTATTGTTTTGCTCTACCACTTTATTTTTCTCCTATATACTCTCCTTTTCATTAATATTTTCTCTCTCCAAAGGACTTGGAAGGAATTTTCCCCCAACTGCAGACTGGTAGCTGAAAATCACATAGATATCTGTTTGCTTTGGACCAAATCCAAGATTTGCATAGGATGTTTTTGTGCCATCCATCTATCCATAAGTCAGGCTAAGTGAGCAATTGGAGATTAGAGTTACAGACATCATCCAGGGTACTGTTTGCACAGCACATGGTTGGATTATCATGTATTATATGTGAAGAGAAGGAAATAGACTCAGTCTACTAAAATTTATCAAATAGAATAATTTCAGATGTTAATACCATGGTAAAATTCCCTGTAGATGCCTAATATTCACCTCCCCCTACAGATGGCTTTGCCTTTAGAGTTTTGTATTTGCAACCTTGCACTAGTCTTATCTAGCCAGGCAGTTAGTATCCTGCAGGTCCTCCGGTAATCCTGTTATATTGTAGATAATACAAGTTGTTACTTTGCTTTGAGCAACTCTCGAGGCATTATGTCTTTTTCATAATATTTCCAAACTCAGAGGTAATTCTACATGTAAGATTCTAACCCCACTGCCTTGACGTATACATGTAAGCATGGTTGTTAACATCCTTGGACTAAATAGACTTTTCAGAAAAAATTCCTAAGTTATAATACTAATTCAAAAATCTAGTGTGTTTCCCATCATTTTATCTCACTCTAGAGAATTTTATTTATAAAGCAGCCATAATTTTACATTAGGAAAATACATAGGAAAAACATGTCAACAAAAAATGATCGGACTATCTCTATGACTACTATTCTGGATCTTTGGCTGCTAGATAATTAATACTCATATGTAACATACAAACACATCTCTGATAAATGTGTATACATAGGGCAATGGTAAATAATGCATGAACATTCAAGTGTTTCTTTGGGAGGGTCCCTTGGATCTTTCAGCACAGTATATAGTAAAAGATTTTTGAAAAGAAAATCATCAATAACTTAGGAGAGTCAGTTTTGGATCCTGGCTGGGCTATTTGGGAGAAAGCAGAGTCACAAACAGTGAACAGATACAGCACTTATTTTTTTTATTTTCCTGGCAGTGGCACCCTCTGTGGAATATTGCCAGGTTTCCTTTCCAAGGGGCCATTTATCACCAGGCTGCCTAAACAAGCTCTGCCTAACTGCAAGTGTCAGATTAGCCACCATGTCATATTTATTGTCAGCTTGATGTCAGAGATTATGGGCCAAATTCAGCCCCACTACAATAAGTACAGTTCTGCTGACACATTTGATGATTTACATTAGGTTTGATTTTCAAACTATGACTATCAGTGAAAGCAGCAATGCAGATGCGGCTGGTTTCATTTGTTATACACTTGTCTGAGACAGCAGACATAAACAGAGATCTAGATATAAACAGAGATCAGGCTCCAGTTTGTTCTTTTTTACTTCATTTCAAGAAAGCCAAAACAATCCTTTTCCCTTCCCTGCTGGATCTAAGCAGATGGTAACCATCTCATTCAGTAGGTTCTATAAGACACTGATGTTTGTATGCTACCATCAGAAATGTAACTGCAGTACATTGAGACAATCCTGAGCATTATTTAATTTAGCTAACCTAGATGCTCATAGCTCTGAAGATACAACATTATGAGAAGGTAATCTGCCACCTTGCCATATGCCAAGCAGATTTGTATAGCGTGTATTCAGGCCATTCCACTACCTCTCCATAGCTGTTGCACTCCTCTCTAAATATAAATATATGATGTGCTGCAAACGTACCTCCCAGTACAGAAGAGGCACGAAGACGTGACATGTTGTATCCCACACTGCTGTTATGACAAGGTGTGGTATTGCTGACTGACCTACCCACAACAACAAACATATATACACACACACGCACACACTGTGGCAGCTGTTTACAGGAATAAGAGCTCCTCTTCACTGTAGAGCTCACCTGATTCTAACTTTGGTGATACTTTAAATTCAAGTCCTCTCTAAGCATAAGTGTGCCAGGGCTTTCAACTCAAACTAGTTGACTATAATGGGGAAAAACAATACATGAACACGGCTGAAGAAATTTGCTTGAAGGAGTGATTTTTAATTGCTATGTTAAGAAGTGCAGAAAGGCTTATGCTCACAACACTTGGGGCTAGCTGAGAGAAACAGTCATGTACACACTGCACCACATTCACTGAGAGTCTTCTCCAGCCCCACTGTAGATCTAATGGTCTACTAAGGCATTAAGGTCTTCATTCTTAAAAAGAGTTTTCAGTTTAAAATGCCCAACCTAACTCAAAGAGTTTCTGTATCATGACATGGAGTGTGTGCAATGCATGCCCCAGAGTGAGTCTTGAGCACATGGAGAGATGTTGATGGCACAGGTCCAACTGCAAGGACGCTAAGACTCTGACAAGACAGGGAGCCCTGCGAGGCACAGGATGCCATGGACACAGCCTGCAGAAAGCAGCCCCTGAATAAACTAGCTCCACATATAATCTGTTCTCTGTTTGCCTTGCTATTTTTTGAACCTATGAAAACTTTAATTATCCTGATGTGACATGGCAAAGATCTCCAATGCTTTATTAGTTCTAATATAAAAAAATGCCTACTCTTGCATGTTTTAAATCTAGTACTTTCAGCTGGTGTTGCCTTATTCCTGCACAGCAAGATACAGTGTATTATCCTTTTCTATGCACATTCTTTGAGCTCCGCATAGCTTTTAGAGACTTTTCTCGATGAAATAGCCATCTTCTACTAGCTCTTGATCAGGATGAAGAATCTTAGGTTATTTATATGTTTTTCACATGGAGGGCATTGCATGCCTTTGTTCATTCTCGCTCCCCTTCACTTTCTCAAATTGTATTACATCCTATTTGAAATGGGAGAACTAGAACTGCATGCAATATTCAAGATACATATACACCATACATTTACACTGTGACATAACATAGTTTCTTGTTTTTTCTCATTCTTTCGTAGTAATTCCAACCATTTATTTAATATTTCTAGCAGCCACCGTGCACCAAGCTGACTTTCAAAACTATTTATTATAAACCTAAGAACTCATTCTTGGTGGCAAAAGCCAACACAAGACCATGTGATATACATTTATCTTCTCAGAATTTATCTGCCATTTTATCACATAGTCAACTCAGTAAAGTCCTTCTACAATTAATGACTGGCAGCTCCTGCTTTTACTACCCTGCATATTATAGTCAGCAAACTTTTTTACTTAACTACAAAGCTTTTTCTCCCCTCAGCTAGTTTAGTAATGAATTTGAGAGCCTGGGACCTGAGCACAGGTATTTCCATGCCCTTGCTGCTGGAGGCATTTTTTTCCCACTCATCAACAATCCTTGGGACTTGTAAGAAAAAGTGAACAAATGTAGTTCTGCCTTTACTTTTTCAGTAGTTAGTTAAAAAACAATGATTGTACTTGTAGATGAAGGAAGGAATTATTTATTACCTATGCTATTTGTTGTTCATTGTCCTACACTATCAGAGAAAAATCTTGTCATGTACTTGATTTGAAACTCAACAACTTTTATCACATATTCCCTTAGAAGATGCTCTTGACTATGCAAAAGGTCACATACTTTATATCACAAGAAATAAGTGTGAATAAACGATGCATATAGAGAACATATGATTGATTCAATCCTTTTGTGGTAGGGAATAAAATAAAAAATTGGGTCATGCGCTTAGGAAACCAGGTGGGTCTTCAGTGAACATTAGAGAGACATGCACTTTATGAACTTTATGAACCATAAGAACTCTAATGAAACATTCACAGAATTAGAAAGCAGAGAATTGGGAAAAAATATGCAAGTTTATAAATAGCCAGTAATTTCTGACATGCAACCAGTAAGGTCTGCAAGCACCTGTAGAGAATTCTCCTATGGAGAATACACACACAATGAAACACAGATATTGCAAAATACTCATGTTCTTACCGAGTCAGTCTCCAAGCACAAGTATATTCCAACAGCTGATTCACACTGAACTGTCTTTGGTCATCCTCATGCTATGAAAGAGAAACGTATAATGAGATACTGTGATTTGGAGAATGTTCACGATAGATCTGCTTTTCTTTTTCTTTTTCTTTTTCTTTTTCTTTTTCTTTTTCTTTTTCTTTTTCTTTTTCTTTTTCTTTTTCTTTTTCTTTTTCTTTTTCTTTCAACATGTTCTTTTAGCAATTATTTCCTTTCAAAGTGTTGGTCTGAGATTTTATTTCATGACTGTCTCCTATCATATTGGCTTGTATTATACAGATGGCCACAAAAAAAATTATCCCAGTACTTGCTTCCATTACATAAAATTGAAGTTTGTTATGCTTTAAGATTACAGTAGGGCCTTACTAAGCCCTGCTTCTGCTTTCTTTTTACAGATGGCAATAGACATCCTTCTTCAATAGCAACGGACACAGGACATCAAGCAGAAATGACTTTGTATGCATAACCTGATTTCAGCTTTGTTTCCTAAGAGAATAAAATGAGGAACATTGCATCATTCTGTGCAACCTCTTCAAAGAGACTTATCTCCCCTCATTTTGCCTCATTTGACATATTCTGCAGATGAGATTAATTCACCCTCAGATGTAGTCTTTTCTCTATCCTTGTGAACTTGTGGCCCTCTGATGCCTTAACTCCTTCTGCTCATACTATGGAAGCTCAGCCCATGCCAGTCATGTACTGTCTGCTTGTAGGCACCACCCAGAGTGGAAAAAAAACTCCTTTGTTTTTTTTTACTGATTTAATTTCACACAATAAACAGGATTTAGAAAACAGTATAGCACAATCCAGTACTGATATGTTTCAACTTTATGACTTTTTTCTTTAGACAGAATTCATAACTAAAACTTTATTTTCCATCTAAAATCCCACTATTTTACCTGCTGTGCTGAAAAAAAAAAGAAAAAAAGCCTTCTATTATTTTGAATGCTAGTGTATTTGAATACTGAAAGCTTGTTGGGAGCCCCTGTGACCACACTAGTAGTTTTCACTAGGTAATTAAAGGGCAGTAGCGGTCTGAAGCAAATATCCTTGAGCAATTCGTGTTTCTGATATTGTTCGGTTCAAGTTAAATATGAGCGAGTGAATGAAGTGAATGATATTCATGAGTGAATTAATTCAAGCTAATTCTATTTTAGATTGCCACATAGAGAATTTGCAATAGCATCAATTAAGGAGCGAGGCTTTTTGAACCTGAAACATTGCTGATACGCTAAACAGAACTTCCATTTAAAGAGTTACTGTCTATTTAGCAGCAGTAAGTGAAAGATGAATTAAGGTGAAGGCAAAAGGAAAGTTCTCATGCATTAAATCTTGAATATGTGCATCTTAAAACTAACCTCTAAGCTTCATCTGCCTTGGCTTTTGAACTTAGAGGGACACCTCTGCTCTTTATTTCAGTGTATTAGAGAGAGAAAGCATTAAATGTTATCACAGAGCAGTATATAGTGTATTTGGAGGACAGGATGCATTTAGGAGTAGATATTTTTTTCTTAGCTGACTTCAGAATCCGTCTTGGGTCCCATGAGCTGCTGCTACAAATATGATTACAAGATTACAAGACATACAAGAATAGCTTATGGATGCCAATTTCTTGAGAGCAGCACTAATTGTGCTCCCAGGACTCTGGCCTAATAATTGCATCTTTCTCTCTCAGTTCACAGCTCAAAATTGTCTTCTCCCCACATCACAATCCATCACCTTTTTTTTTTTTTTTTTTTTAAGAGTTTAGTTTAATGCTTTCTTTATTTGTATTAATGTGGTTGATGCAAATTTCTGTTTTGGCCACCTTCTCTGGAGCAGTGTGAAGTTAAAAGCTAGTATTCCACATTTCTTTTGCACTTCAGCTTGCTGAGATCCCCTTTACTGCCTGTTCTGAAGTTTCTAATTTCTCACTTTCTCCCCTGCAGTGCTATCATGATAAGAAATGTGCAACTGAAGAAGGAAATAGCACCAGACATTTCGTACTTACTTTCTATGATACCATGGATTTGGATTTGCTAATTCTAGACAGAGCAACAATCCAACACATGTACCTCGAATGCCAGAAAATACCCCATATTTTTTAAAAATCTCATTACCATGCATGTGAGCAGTGCAAGTGCTCTGCAAAACCTACCCTACAGTTTTGTAAAGATCTTGGAAACAATGTAAAACTTAACGAAGGATGGAAGGCTGGAGTTTAGAAATAAAATTACAGATGTATGTTTGACATGAATCCATAAGTGTCACAGGATCTGATGAAACATGGCAAAAGGTGGCTGAATGTGAATCATTTAGCACATAAATACATATGGGAGATGATTATATAAAAGATGATTAAATAAAAGATGAAGGCATTGCTATGCTGCTTTGATTCTGGTAAGCCACATCCTTAAAAGAGATTTTTACCAAGTAACATTTCTGAAACTTCTGAATTCTACAGGATCTTACAGATTACAGTGCAAATTCTTCCAAAGAAAGAGAAAATTCACAAAAATTAATGGTAGCTGCACATGTACACAACTGCCTGAAATCTTAAAGTCTCTGCCTATCTTTTTAAGAACACACCATTTTCCCCATCTTTTTCCATCAGGTGAATTCAGTGGGAGGGAGGATTACTTTTCGTAAACTGTTTATAAATCTGTGTTTTTCAAGTACCCTGTAAATGAATCAATCTGCAAGTTTCAGAAAACAAACCAAGAAAAAAGAAAAAAGTATTTTTTAGCATTTATGACCCTAATCTAGACTACCTTTGATTCTTGAATTCAGTGTGAGTCTCAGAACATCCAAAGAGATGTTTGGATCCCTGAGCTGGGATCCAAACCCAGAGCTGGGTACACAGGAGAGGGAACATTGCACTTCTCAGAGCACCATCACCCGTGTCTTTTCCGTTAAGGCTTCCTCCAAGTCTGACAGACGTGAACACACTACCGTGAGCAGGACCCTTCCTTTCAGATACAAGTGCCCTGTTGCAAGTGCTCCCTGGAGCTGAATGAAATCTTTGGGTCCATGGCTCACGGTAGCATGAGCTGCTAATGTTCCTTGCTATTATTGGTAACCTGAAGTAACTCAATAGCCTGAAGCTTTCACAGCATGTCAGCTATCATAAAGAGGTGATCAATAATTCACTTGAACATTTCTTAAGGTATCGCTATTCCTTGTTAAGTCCCATTTTAAGTTATTAATTTGTGTTTCACAAATTCTTTGAGACAACAAGTTGTGTTCCAGTGGCCTGAACACCACTAATTCATCTTCCAAGCTTGCTACCTAACTGAAATATGGCTTTGAAGACTATTTTTGTTTCTTTCTTAGTAATTATTCTACCTGGTAATTGTTATTATTTCTGAAATGTGAAACGTCAAGAGGTGCTTACTCTGCTCCTGGCCTCCACACTGCACTGCAGTATATTAAACCTCGTTTAGACCTGTCAAACTACAGCAGTGATGAAGCAGCCTTTGAGCATACTAACAGGACATGAAGCATTTTCACAGTAGCACAATTTTAAAGCACACTTAAACATGGACAAATGACTTCTTAGTATCTGAGATGGTTCACTGTTCCTATGAATAGGACACCAATTCAAATAACGGAACACCACTTCTTATCATGATGGACCACTGACTTCATTTTTCTCAGTTTGTGATTATGCTCGGAAGTTAACAATTAACCTGATATCTCTGTTAAAATACTGGCATTGTTAAGACATCTACTACTAGTAGATATGAAAGTAAAGACGTTTGGATTCTCAAGAAATATCACTTACTGGCTGCTTTTGTCCAAAAAAAAAATACAAGCAATGTTCTTAAGGCAGCAGGTTTTTTGCTGCCACACCACTATAAACATTCATGCTTTACACAGATATTAAATATGTGAGGACAGCTCTGAAAAATATAGGCCTCTTGGGTTAGACAGAGCTCTGTCTGGAAATGGTGTACGAATGAAGGTTTTACTTTGTGCTGTTTCACTGTGCATCTCTCCCTAAACACCACCCTCTAAGGAAGGTAACATCTTTTTTTAACCCACTAAAACTTGTGGAGGTTGCACTTATGGTTACCCCTTAGGGGAGGAAAAAAAAAAAAAAAAAAAAAAAGCAGTAGGTTAGATGTGAAGTACAATGTCAAAACACATCTAGTGTTCACCGCTCAGAGTACTGCACAACTGTGTCTGTAAACTGGATCGTAATTTGACAAAAGGACTATTGTATTTTTTTCCACATTTATTGTCATTCTCAAGATCTCAATGCATGGAGAAAAATCTACACGATGTAGAATTTACAGTTATGTCTGCAGAAGCTCTTTGTCTGGTTAGACAATATAAAACTTACCTTCAATATGTTTTCATAATATAAAGATAACCTTATGTACAGGCTTTCTAAGGAGGCTTAGCAATAATCTAGCACCTTGAAAATTCAGGTATTAAAAGGCTTTGTTCAAAAGTGTTATGGATGATAAACCTCACATCTCAAAAAATCAAAATCAATTTAAAGGTCATTGACTGGCTCAAGAGTTTGTGATTCTGTGAAAAGCCCCAGGCCAAACTCCTTGCTTCTAACTCTTCCTTCAAGAGAATATTTTTTTGGATACATTGTAACACAGAATACCAGCTACCCACAGAAGGAAGAAAACAAATACTCCCTTTTAAAAGTCGTTCAGTTGTATTCACAAAACAATTGTAAATATTTAGTTATTGCCCAAATTTTATGAATTTCATTCTTTTACTGTAATTAAACAGATTATTTTAGTAATTCTTTACTGAGTCCACAAGTTTCACAGAAATTAAGAGACACAGTAGGTAATTTATTAGGAAATCTGGAGTTGAAAGTCCTGAATGAAAGGCCTGAATGTCACTGTTCAGTTTTTCTTCATGGCCTCTATTAATATTATGGTTCATGAAAGTTTCCAGTGGCTATGGAATTAAAATATAGTAATAATAATATAATAATTATTATTATTTATATTCAGAGTTTCCAGCTCTCAAACCAGCTGGCAATCTGATCCAGAGATTAAAGTCCACTTAAACTCTGAACCACAAGAAATTAGTTAATAACTAAAAATATCAGATCATTGCCCTTCTTGCTTTCTGTATGTATTTCTATTGCCTCTCAAGGACAACTGGCTATTAGACTCAATATAATCAGTAATACAGCTCTGATATAGAAGCCTAGAAATACTTTGAAGACATGGTGATACAAGAGCAATAAATTATTATTCACCATATGCAGTAGGCAGAGAGAAATGCATGCATCATAGTATTAATTTTAAATAAATGTCTGCTCTTTGATCAGCATTTCAGTTAAAAAGAGCAGGCACACAGAACTGATAGATCCTTCTACCTGCTTACGGGTGAATAGCTTGGTCAAAGGGTTAATTTTTAAGAAATTACCCAAAATCTTAATTCCTAAACTCTATCTTCACATTACTGAGAAAGGTGAAGTCAGTATTCCTTGGATATTACCTCTTCTCTAGGCATTGTGCAGTATGGGACAATTATGCTGTCATGAATAATTATGATTTGTGTATACCAAGAGCTATTTTTAAATACACATCTTGATTTCAAAGTTGCTACATAAGGTAAGCAAGAATGATTAGGATGACAGTCTCAAGATGTAAATTAGACTGCAAACCATATTATTTTGAGGATATATAGTATAGCAGAACAGTAGATAGGTAATCTGCTCTATATTTTAGGCTGTTTTAGTTTGAGTGCACAGTAATTTGTAGAAAACAACTAGCTTGAAATTAGAAAACGAGATTGTTGGGGAGTTGTTTGAGGTCTCTTTTTAGGGTATGCATATAAATAATAACTCCACTGTATGTTGTACACATATAAGTAACAAATAGTACTGTAATCAAACTTCTAACTCATGTTAACGATTTCTCAGGGCAGGATGCACTGGAAGTCTGCAACTGGTCAACAGTATATATTATTCCATTTCATAGCTTGAGACATTGACCTAGAAATGCAAGTGACTTTTTTTATAATTACACAGTTACATGCATTCATAATTATATTTAATCATCTTCATGCTACTCCTCCCAAGCCCAGTTTTCTTTGGCACCCAGCTTGCTTTGGCACCACTGCATGGAAAAATCTAGTCTTCCAGACCGTTAAAAGAGAATGCCTTGTCACAGATCAAAGACCAAAAAGGAGTATGAAAACTGTTTAATCTCATCTCCTGTTTAATGCAGACAGTAGAAATCACCCAGTGATTTCTGCCTGGAGCTCAACGACTTGTAGTTCAATGATAAAAAGGTATCATGGCAAGACATAACTAATTCCATTGGTGACTGAACATGAATATTGTTCTTTTTTGTGGCTGGGATGATACAATGTGTGGATGAGAAAGGACACATGGGATGGATACTTGCTCACCTCCTTCTGTGGGCATATTCATTCTTCAAATCATTTTCCTCTAGATTGACAATGCGCAGCTGGCAATTCACCCATCTGAATCATTGTTGCAGAGCTGACCTGGCAATGAAAGCTTCCATGTTTCCTAATTTACTTTCTTCTGAGCAAAACTAAATGAAGTAGAATCAATGGTTTTCAAAAATAAATAATGAATATTGTCAGTGAAGAGGGCAAATAATTTAAGCCACTACTGAATGCTGTAGAACTTCATTATTCCACTTTTATCTATAGAATGGCTAATGTTTTCAATAGAAAAAAAACCACACATTTTGCTTCATTATAGTTTCTTTTCTAATACTCTTAAGTTACATATTGCACTGAACCTGATGTTTTTCATCACGACACACAGCAGAAATAAGAAGAAAGCCCCTATTCTATTAGAAATCTGTTATCTGACCTATATATTGACAGATTCAGGCTGACAGTATTAAAACTTAAAGCATGTAATTGGAACTAACTGAATAAAGTCAACCACCGCCAGTGAATAATGCCTAGAACACCAAAGCTTCTCCTGCACAGTGAAGCTTGTGTTGGAAGCAATTCAAGCTGGACCACAGGGAATAAAGCTCACACTTAGGAACATAGATCAGTGTCACTAAAGCTCTGTAATCCTTTCCAAGGCTGCTTAATCTCAACTAATCTGAATATGAATCTATTAAGACTTAAGGTGTGATAAGACAATGTTTTCTGTTAGGACATATGCTTGTGTACAAACAAATACACAGAAACACACGCCTGCATATAAACAAGTATCACAGGCACGTGTGCATGCCACACACACGCAGGTATGCACAGAGACAAATTGATTCCATCTTTTTCAACTTACTCTTTCAGTGAGAACGAGGTATGATTCATCCTATGCAATACTTCCTTTTCCCTTTGTTATATTTCAAAACACAGACAGACCAATCAAAACCAGTAACTCACAAACTGAAATCACTAGCATGAATCAAGCCTGATAAAACTGAATTATTCTACAAAGGTTAGCTATATTTTCTTCTCAGATGAGGGTTCTCTAGAATGACGCATTAGATACAAGTACAGAAACACAGCAGAGCTATTCCTCGGAACATTTCAACTGCTCTTCAGCACCAATGTATGCATGAGCAGGAAAGCAAATAATCTCTCCTTGATTATTACTGGAGATGGTTGCATAAAAAGACTGGGGAATTTTAGCCCTTCAGGGAGGCTGAAAGAAAGGAAGAAGATAAAAAATGACAACATACCGTTCGAGCCAAATTTTGCTTCAAATTAGTAGTGATATGTAGCCGAAGCTGAATGCAGGTGGTTGGCTTGCGAAGACTCTTGTGGCTGCCCAAAGTATGATTGCTGCAGTTTTGAGGAAAAACAAATGATTATCTCTGCTTGCCGCTTCCTTCATTTTCTCTCTTTTTCCCCTAAAAGCACTAGTAGACTAAATTCTAAATGCAAAGCAGACTGAAAAGCATAAAATGAGCTTGCCATTTACATCTGTGAAAATGGGTGGGGTTTGGTCATGGCTTGTTTTCTGTGAAGAAAATTTCAAAATAATCACTTAATTGTGTCTTTGACCATTTAGTTTGTGTTACAGAACAACAATGAAACAGAGAAAGAATATTCTAAACAAATTGCACCTGCTCTCAACTCTTTCTCTTGAGACAATTCCTGTATATTCTTCATGACCTTCAGAGAAACAAAACTTTTGATCCTGTGCAGTTCATAGAGATGGTAAAGGAAGCTCTGTGTCAGTTTTCTACCTTCTTTAATCAGGTCAACTAAGGCCTCACAAAGAGCTCTGTACCCACTCAGATGGAATGGTTCCTATGAACTATTCTACTAGTAAAAGATGCTTTTTATTATGTTTAATATTACTTGTAACAAATAACATTTTTGTGGTTCCCTTCTTATTGGTTTAATCAGGTGAAATAATGCAAAAAGACAAAGGCTTTTTTTTCAAATAAAAAACATCTTTGGGAGTAATTTTTAGAAAAAAATGATACCGATTTTTGCAAAGGCAAATTCATCACTGAAATGAGTTAAAATGCTTTTCCAGTTACAACTCTAGTGCATGTTCAGCTAGATTCATGTCATTTCAGGTCTCCAGCCATAAGCATGCCTAAAGGGATACTTGATGTTCATATGGATTTACAGCCATGAAGAAAAGCAGATTCTTTTCTGATTTGTCAAGTGTTACAGAAAACTTGGAATTCAGCTATTAGCTCTATTTATTTCTACCTAAAACTACTTTTTATGAAATAGAAGAATAAAATTGGTGGGATTCAGTTTCAAGAAACACTGGTCCTGTGAACAAATGACAGAAACAGTGACTGAGAGGCCTGAGGACTTATTTCTTATGTGACAACAGAGGTCCCAGCAGAAATAGATGGTTAAATTCAAATAAGTAAGCTATAGATAATTGCCACTCAGCACAATTACGAAGGATTTATATATCTTTTAAGTGCTCTCTGCTTACGCTGCATTGTAGGTAAGCAAAATATATACTTCCTATTAGAGATTAAAGGAGGTGCAAGTGAAGATGTGTGCTCTTTTTTAAGCAAAGACACTGAAGGTCTCAGAGTAGAAATCCATTTCCATTTGACAGAATAAATACCCAGAGCAAATACTCCCTTGGCAGTGCTTCCATACATTTGCAAAATTCCTTGATGTTAAGGACAGCAAATACAGATGTAAGACGGAGTGTAGAAGCCAGAACTGTCACAGTAAAATATCAGTGCTGTTGGAAAGTGTGTCACTATTATGACTCAGCCCTTCTCTAATTCCTTTACCAGCAAAAATCCAAACAACCTATTCTGAGTTCTTAAGATCATACCAATTTAATGTTTCTCATATTGTTCCTCAACTCCAATCTGTGCTGTACCTACTCATTGCTTTCTTCTAACTTGTACCATTAGGTTTCACTTATTCAAGTGTGCCTCGGTACTCTCCAGCTGAACACCTCTGTGACCTTGATGCTCCTTCAAAACAGCCTCACAACTGTTTTTTTGAACCTTTCCTCCCACCATTATTTCTCCTCTTCCCTTTCTGCCCTATCTGTTTTCATCCTTGGGACGGATGTAGTAAAAAGAAAAATTCATGGAAACGCACCTGCAAGTCCTGAGTCACTTTGTTCCAGATTGCTCCAGTATTCTCACTCCCTTTAACGCAATCATTACACCAAGCCATTGCTAGAAAATACTGTGGCAATACCAATTTACACTAGTCGAATGCTCCTCTGTGGTTACAATTTTGTACCACAGATGTACAAAACTACTTTTTGCCGGTATAATCATTCCACATCGTTGTGCTTCCCGACAAAACAAGCTACACCAACAGAATTTTAACGTTTGGTTATAACTACACTTACAGTAGAGGCTTGCGTTAGTGCTGCTGTGTCAGGTAGATAGCATACCTCATCAAATCTTTTATTGATATTGTGATGCTATCTGAAATGCTGTAGTCTAGAGGTACTAGACCTACAGTTGATTTCATGAATGGATATTATTTTCACAAATGCAAACAGAAAAGCTTTGGCAGATACTGCAACACAAGAGACTAGTCCAACTGGATTAATGCTTCAGTAAACTAAGGTGAAAACTTCGCCTAGATAAATAAAAAAAAAATAAAAACAAAACAAAAAAGTGATATAGCTTTAGTTCCACAGACTTGCCATGGACTGAAAAACTGCCTTTTAGCCAAACCTCAGGCTGCATTACATTACATAGCTTGCTTTCTTACAGATCTGCTACTGCATGTGTGCTATTAAGATAAAAGTAATGTAGTCACCTTTACAGGATAAAGGGGTGGATTCAGGTTAGACATTAGGAAGAATTTCTACATGGAAAGAGTACTCAAGCACTGGAACAGGCTGCCAGGAGAAGTGGTGGAGTCATTGTTCCTGGCAGTGTTCAAGAAATGTGTAGATGAGGCACTTAGGGACATGGTTTAGTAGAATTGTTGTTTGAAGGGTTTGACTCAATGACCTTGAAGGTCTTTTCCAACTACAATGATTCTATGATTCTATAAAATGCTTATTAATAACTGGATTGAAGTGTGTTGAACACTGTAGAAGAAATTATTAAAAGAGCAACTCAATGCCTTTCCACTTATTTTGCTGAAATACTGTGGGAGATTACAGCTTGGACCAGAATGCCCCAATCAAAGACATAAAGCAAAAAGCTTTAAGAGACAAGATAATGACATGGTCAAAGTGATGTGACTTCTCTGTGGTCCAACAATCTCCACAGTGGGGCAAGAGAAAAGCCCTCGTTCTCTTGACTCCATCACCACTAGACGGTTTTGCACCCCTACAACAACATTCTCACATTCCTTGAAGGTCATGCTAAGCAGCTTCTCTGAATGAGAAGCTTAAACCACAGAGAGAAGAGAAAACAAAGTCTATCTATACAAAGAACATTGGTCTAAAATGTGTTTACTTCTAACCAGCCCAATCTGTATGAATACTACTCTGCCCATTTTATAAGTAATGATTTGAACAATGCTTAGAGAGAAGAAAACTAATTCTTTTTCTGGCCTCAATTCTCTGAGAATAGAATTAGCAAGGCAAAAAAATGTCATCAATAAGGCCATAGACAAGCATCTGAGTATAAATGATAAGCATTTAGATCCTTCTATTCCACATTTCTGCTCAGCGTGTCAGTGTGGTCAGAACTGCAAAACAGTAAGGTAATTGGAGGAGAACAGATAGAAGTAAAGACTTGTACGATAAGAAAATTCAAGAAACCTCAAGTCTTCAAAAAATAAAAAAAAAAGGGCATGTTTAGAAATAAAACTAATAAATACCCTTAGATTTTATAATCTTACTAGATCTTCATTGCAGCTACTTCTTACAAACAGCCACTGAATCAATAAACAAAAGAGCCCAGTATTCTTTCATACAGTCATATGCTTCATTTTACTAGGCACTTGAGGATGCTGGTGGCCTGTAATCCCTAAGGCAAAAAAGTCTATATGGAGGATTCTTTGCTGTCACATGAGCAGGCCTGTTTTGGGCTTGCCACTGGCAGGGAGAGCTAGGAGCTATTTGACATAAGCAGCTTGACCCCAGTATAATGTATCTTTATTTAACTTCTTTCATAAAAGAAATCCTAAAATCACTTTTTAGGGTCATCCATTCTAAAAAGTAGACAGAGAGATGGGAAAGTGCAAAAGCAAGAATTAAAAGTGATTGTGGAAGGTATATAAAAGGCATGATAAGGGAGGATTTTCAGATACAGTTGATGACCTTCCAAGAACTAAAAGATAAATATAACAAGTGTAAAGGATTGGAAAGCATATGCACAGCTGGGAAGCAGAGAAGGATGGCAGATTAGTCTATGGATACATATAAAAATCAAAAATTGCCATGAATAGGAGTAAAAATGAATGACAAAGATGAAATTGTTCTGCCCTTTTCTTTCAAGGGTTGTCTTCCGCTTCCCGATGAACATATAAAAAGCAATTGCAGGAAATCAACCTGTGAAGTGACGAACATGTACCGTGCGATGACAGAAGGGGCAAAGAAAAAGTACCAGCAAATCCTGATAGTGCTCTATAGATGCTATAAGAAACAAAAATGCAAAAAACAGGAAGTACATGGATAAGAAGAAAGCCTGCAGGCTCAGCCAATGCCAGAATTTCTGATCAGCAAACCAAAATAAGTTAAAGACTAGAAATGGAGTGAGGTTCCAAAGAAGAATTTAACTTTATCAGATAAGGGGTGATATTCTGCCTTTACGCAGGCTTCTGATATATAAAATTTGTGTATCTGAAATCTGATATTCCACTTGTGAGTCAGAAAGAATATAAACTCATGGATATCTCAATAGAAAGTGAATAATGAATGACTGTATCTTGTAGTGCTCACACATGTGTTCCCTATCAAACTTAAAGCAAAATGGATTCCAGGAATCATCAAGCCATTTAGGTTTTTCTGGCAGGATGTGGTGCTTATTAATATTGTTCAATCTAATAGTAAATGAAAGCTTTTGACAGATCTTTATAACCTTGTCTCACCCACTAAATTACTGTGATCTGAGTTCATCATGTCATCGTTTTGGCTTCACTTTGTATATTTCTGGATTACAATAAACCAGAAACAAAACAGCATTCCCTTTCCTATCTCGTAACTTGGGAAACTTCTATTGGAATCCACCACTGAATGAATTCCAAGTGCTCCACAAGGGAAGAATTTTCCATGAGTACATAAAACTACAATGCCTCTAGTAAGGAAAACCATTTGCACTAACAGATAGCACACATATAGGAAAAAGTTCCATCTTGACACAACATCACAGACCACATTAAGTTACCCAATGGATGATATGATACAGAGATTCAAATTTCAAATAAAGGACTCTGTTGAGGAGGAAGAGAGCTCAAAGCACACCACAGCACAGAATTACATGCTGCCAATGCCAGAACTGCAGCTTGGGGCTCTTTGCATTACAGTGAAGGAGCACAGCAAAAAAGCTGGGAACATTATTGACCTTGTTTCACTGCTAATAAGACGTGCAGAGATTCTGCAAGTGCAGGAATTTAAACAGTCCCTTACTGATGAGTTCCTCCCAACAGTAAAAAATAAAACTGTTTAGAACATATCGTACACTGTACTGAAACACACTGAGCTCATCCTCAATACAATGACTCATTATTTCCATTTTCTTGAGCAATTTGTTTTAAATGAGACCCTTAAAAGAGTCTGTTTTTTTTTTTTTTCATGTAATCAACAGATCTATGACCTGATACTCTTCTCAGTGGTTCTAGCATTGTACCATTTTTACTCAGCATTCTACTATACCAGCTCCTGCTCTATGCAGATTTAAGTAAAGCTCAGAAATATTAAAGCCTCCATCTTGAAGTGTAGAATTCACAATAAACATCTGAATATCTGACTTGTATACCTGTGAAAGAGTAGAAATGTACAAACCCACTACCAATTTAGATGGTGGGGCCCCTGCTTGCATGTATTGATCAAGCTGATTTGCTTTGAACTAGCCCAGGTAATCTTTATAAACTACACTGCTAGTATAGCTGCTTATAATGATTTCAGTTGTATGTCACATGTACACTACTTCATCCCTTCTAACACTTTTAATGTTTTTAACAGAGGAACAGTGATTCCTGCAGTGTCAGTTACAGGTTACAACAGAGAATAGCCCACCTTTTGCTGTAAGTTCCTGTCCCAGGAACTTCCTAACAACCAGGAATCTGGATTTTCACTTAGCTATTTCAATAGGAGATCTTGCCTTTGATGACAGAGGCAGAGAAACACCTAGCTGAGTCCAGCAGTGTTTTAAACCATTACAGGTTTACTTGAATGAATGTGAATCAGCATACTTAATTCCTAACTTTCGGATTATATGCATTCAGAAAGACCTGCTTACACGTATGACGTTTTCTGCAACCTACAGAAAACACCAAAGCACTGACTTCATTTGCTTTACTACTATTGCAACTGGATAAAATGGCAAACCACCTGCTGCTTAGTCCTTTGTAATACTGTTTCTCATCTCTTTGGTGACGAATAGATGTGTATCCCCTCCTGCTTACAACACTCCAGTGAGATACTGGGAGTAGCAGCATCCCTGTTTTATGGATGAGAAAGACAAGAAAAATGAAACAGTGCAACAAATTATTCAAGGCTGGACATAGCTTACATAGAGAAGACAGGCTTTGAATCCTGGATGTCCTGCTGGAAGAACCAAGCACTAGAGCACACCATCATCCCTGTGCAGCAGGATACAGGAACAATGTGTGCCAGGAATATAAGAAGCTATTCAGCGTTTGGAACACATTACTCTTAACTTCTCCTATGGTTTTGTGTATAGGCAGAGTGCATTAATGCTTATATGATGTAATAATCAGTATCCTCTCTTACTGAGATACTTACTTTTGTAAGAACTCATCAGACCCACAAACACTTAGAAAACATTCCTCCTGGACTGGGTATTGATTTGTGCAGTGGAGGATCTCTACAATTAAGTCATGAGTGATACAGCCAGCTGTAAATAAAGATAGCAAAAAAAAATTAATAGTAACTTGCTACAGGATTCCAGGCTACATTCTTGAACAAAGAAAATAAGATTTTCTTTGTAAATGCTAACTACTGCTGCTGTCTAGCTCCATCAAGAGGAATTAGGATAAGCCACACCTGATTTTTTTTCTTTGCTTCAGATGTGCTGCAATTCATACAATTTTTATCTACTTGGAGGAAAATGGCAGTTTGTGAGGTAGCTAGACGGAAGATCTAAGCAATGTTCCAAAGCAGAAGGAAGAAATAAGTAGATATATTTTCCAAATAGGTAAATTCTAAGGTATTTTTGAAATTAATATCCCAATACATCTCCCATGTGTGAACCTGATGAAAAACAGACTCTATGGCATTCAAACTTGGATGAGTAACTGTGGAAGTCTTATTGACTGTGTATAAAAGAGTATTTTAAAAAAATATCTGGACATTCTGTATATCTTCATATTTTCCAATTTCAACCCATGAAATCAAGTGTGTTACAAACAAATAATCCCCTGAAAACCAAAAATGCAACTGATCTGGCTGGCCTTTTTGCAACTGCTAAACTGCTTCCAACTGTGATAAAATAAAGTGTAGATCTATACCTTAGTGGAAGTTTTTAAATACTTGATATTTAATGTGATTTTTACTTTACAGCAAATACCTTAAGCATGTATGACAAAAGAATGTACTCAAGGCTCACATAAAACTTACACTCCAAGTATTTTTCCATATAACATATGCAATTTGTTATCATCTCAGGAGAACTGAATCATGCAAGGCTATGGAAATCTCAATCACTTACCATTTTGAGTGATAAGTAATGGATATGGTGAAGAATCTGTCCAGACACTGATTCTAAATTTCAGCTTGCCAAGGATGTGGTCTGGGAACCTTGTTGCGACACTCCAGATTTTTCCAGTATTTGTCTTTAAATCATAAGCAGGATAGGCACTTCTTATTCTGGGGAGGACATATGATGAAATTATATTTAAATAGGTACTTATTTTAGCTATTAGAGCAAAACAGAAATACTTCAATAACAACAGCACACAGAAAGCTGTTAGGAGTAGCATATTTTGTGCAAATACAGAGGACAATAGCAGCAACTTAGACTTTTGATGCTTTAGTAAGAACACATAATGTACATACAGTTACTTATTTTACTTAATATGGAAACTGTAAGCAAAATCTTCATGAACTTCACAGGATCACTGTTAAGCTTGACCTCAATGAAGCCAAAAGGAGTTTACACACAAACTTCAGCATACTGTGATCAGAATAATATAAGCACAGAAACTATGAGGGTGCTCAAACATATGCTTAAATAACAGAGCTGTACCACAAAGCCAAGAGCATGTGCACAGACAGCTGTGACTAGGACAGCTGTTCAAAATGAATAAAGGAACATGCTTACTATGCAAAATTTTAAGTCCCTATTTTCACTCGGCACTAGGATCCGACTCAAAAATTTCATTACTAAGACACTGAGTATTTAAGCAAATGTCTTTAAATGACAATAATTGCCACAGTCACTGAGGCCCTCTGATCTTATATACCATTTCCCATAAGATATATTACCCCTCTTTCTTCCAGTTACCACAAACTTGCAGAAACTAATTCTCCCTGAGGTACCATTTCCTGATGGTCACAGGTATTAAAGTCTGTCAGCTGAGATTAAATTTGCCTTTTAAGCAAATACAGTTCACAGCTGTAGGTAAGGGGGTGCTTATTGTACCAACTGAGGTTTGACATTTCACTAACTGGCCTGAATATTTTAGCAGCTAAATTCAAACATCCTGTACTAAGCATATTGCATTTTTTTTTGTTTGTTTGTTTGTTAGTTCGAGCTACATTTTGTAGTGTTTGAGCTGGCAGCCCTTTATAGGATCTCTGATTGCAGTGTATTTCATGCCATATTTCTCTCACGGAGTGAAAGTTCCTTTTCACTGTTACCTCCTGCCTTGGGGCTGCTGACCAGCTCTCTAAGCAACAGTAAGCAACATTGCAAACTCCTCTTCTGACATGTATTTCTACAGCATGAGAAGGGGGAAAAAAAAAAGAAAAAGGCCTGGCTTCCAAAATTAATAATCCAATGAAGCAGCCCATTTCTTATAATAAAAAGCCAGGGGGCATGATGTTTCAGTGTGGTAAGTAGAAATGAGGCTTGACAATACCAGTAGAACACGAGATAGATTTATACTTACAGTAAAGAAATCATTATACTACAGTGGATGTTTTGGTGACCTATGGACTCCTATTTTCTGGAGAAAGGCACACACAAACTTTTTCACTATCACCTATTTCTGTAGAAAGACCAAGAACTGAATAAGACTGAAAATTTCACTACCCTTTCTTCAGCAGCAAATTAATGGGATGTGTGGACATGCAGGCCATGAATCACCTCCTCAACTTGATGACAGTAATTTCAAAACTAAATGAACCTCATCTCTATTCCTACTTCCACCCTTTCTGTATTCTAGGATAATTTAGAACAAAATTTTCCTTCTTAAGCCATTCAGAACACATTCAGTTCCATAAAGTGCTACTTTATTTATGGTCATGTATTATTTTCAAGGGAGCAAAGAGCTTCTAGGCAGAGATACTGGGCAAAAATGTACATCTATCATAATAAGAATTTTGGAAGTTAGGCCTCCAAAAGCATGGACAAAGTACTACAGAAGTATTATGTGAAGAAAAACCTGGGGTCCTTGCTTCCTTGCTGCAGCAATTCAGCGTATTCAGAAAGCATTAACTTTTCAGGGGACTTGCTCTTTCGCAATGTTGTGTATTCCTCTGTAGTGCACAGTGTATCTCTCAATCATCAGAAGCTGGAGGAATGCTGCATTTTGCTGTATTGAGCCCCAAGACCATCAATTCAGCATCTTCCTCTGGTATCAATCTTACATCAAGACATATTCTAAAGCCACCTATTCTGCCATAGCTATGTCCATAACTGTAGAAGAAATTTGATAGAGGGATTTTGGAGCCTGCTTTAAAGTTGGATATGTGTACAATGAAATGTTTCAATTATAGACTGCTACCTGTACAAACATTACCTGCAGAAAAACATGATGGGTTTCTATTTGAGCTACATGCTGGAGCTGCAAGTTTGCATGACAGAGTTTGAATTATATATCTTGCCTCTGCTGTATAAAATTGCTAGTTATTGAGATTCTTTGGGAACTAGAAGGATGCTCATTCACTAAGACTGCATGGCTTAGTTATTTGTAAATGAGTTCTTTTGGTCTTTTTGTTTACCATGACATTTTCTTCTAAGAATGTTTTCTCTTTTATAGAGGAAAAGCAAAGTTTGCTTTTATTTTTCTTTTAAAAGAGTATTTGTTGCTGAAGTGCACAAAACACATGACTGCAAATCAGGAATGGCTTAGTAAACTCATTTATTCAGGGCAAGAGGGAGGAAGAACTCAATAGTCTGTAGCTGGAGTGTGAAGTTAAAGGTAGAACGATTGGACATAGAAATCTAAACATATGAAAGGCAGTCTGCCGTATAGAATATACCTTCCTGTACCTGACGCTATTAGAATTGAATATTTGGCGCTCTGTCTGATGTACCGTGAAAAGAAAGAAAATTGAAACATGGGAATAGGTATGCTTGAAGGCTCACCACCTACCCCTGTAGGAAGCTTAAATATATTCGCTCCTAATTCCAGGGCTATGTCCAACTGCATTTTCTTTTCTTTTGAGAGAAGCAAGCTTTGCTGACCTTGAGTACAGTCAATTCATTACAGTCTAATTAAATAAAAGAGGCAGTACTCCATTTCTCACCTACTTTTGGGAGGAAAAATGCATGCACTTGTGCTAATGACTTTATGGTGTGATAAGTGAATACATACAAAAGGGAATGAAGTTGCACAGATGGTCTCAAACCCTGCATTTTTTATGGCTCTTGGATTTGAACACAATTTCTTTTTGTGAAGAGGATTAAGTAAAAAAGTTCAATCCCATTAAGCCACGCTATTAACTGTAACGGTAAACAGTAATTAAAGGAATTTTTTTCATGTGCTATATCTGACTTTTTTTTTTTTCTTTTTTATCATCACAGTATATAGTAATTCTGATTTTGATTTTTCCTTCTCCAAATAGCACATGAATTAATGTCATCCAAGAAGGTGAAACAAAACAGAACCTTGGGTTTCACACACTAAATCCCATAAACACTGAAGAATTAAATGCACTTGTCCATAATAAAAGGGGACAGCTAAAGGAGAAAATATGTTCAGAATTAACATTCCTTTCTGGATTTTAATCTTTAGAACAAAATTAGGAGTGTTCCCATATTTAAAGAAATACTGTAATTATGACAATGTTAAGAAATTCAGGGATAACCAATCCAGTTAATATAAATACGGAAAACATCACAATTGGCCGAGTGAAGTTTTGTCAGTACTTACTTCCCCACCGCATCACAAAAAGCAACCATGTTTTCATTACTCCCTTGATTCGCTTCAACCAGCTGGATAGACCAACTTGCAGGCTAAAAATACCAAAAAGAAACCAGAAGAAACAGAGCTCAATTAGTTAGATATCAGAAAGAGAACATGCGTAGGTTGACCTTAGAAATGTTTCCATGAGAAATAACATTCATACCTTATCATCGCTTCATGGGGTTGAAGGAGCTCCAAATAAGCACTAATAACCCCATGGATTTTGATTGTACTCTTAATGCTAACAGAGATAAAACAGAAAGTCACATAGCATCATCTGCCAATTTTTTTTTTCTCCTTGTAAAACATAAGGAATTCCCCACAAAGCTTTCAAAATTCACCTAGTGTCAGACTGCAGATGATTCTAAATGCAAAAGATGTACGCTTAGTTTACCAAAGGGAGAAGAGACAAAATGAAGCTCATGCCGCAGTGAGTTTTAATCCTTAACTCCTCCCTTTCTGCCCTTGTGGGAAGCTCAAGATTCCCTCAGACTCCCTAAGCCTTTCAGGTAAGCACCTAAGACTGACAACAGGAAGCCAGTGTATTCTATCTGAAAGGGAAATATCCCTGGGTACTTTCTTTCAACTTTAAGAGAACAGGTCTCAGCTTTTATTTTGAGTTAAAGCACTACCGTGACTATTTGCCATAGTGCACTTCAGTTAAAACATGACCTCCAGGGAAGGCTTTAATATTACCGTATCTGCAAGCCCATTCTGCATTGTACATATGGATATTGTTACTTAAGGCCCAACTGGAACACTAACCTTAAATGCCTCCAGAAAGATGAACAACTAATCGCATGGAGCTTAAGAGGAAACTGAGATTTGGGACAAGAAGGATTTTTCCCATTTTAATAATAAAAATATGGTTTTTGTCTGGTCAGAGGGCAATATATCTGAAAAGAAGGAGGTTTGGAAATTATTACTAATGTGGAAAACAGAATCAGAAGGAATGAGGTCGCATACCCTTTATACATATATAATATTATATATATATATCTTTTTATATATATCCTTCATTCTTTATGCTAATTTTATCTAATATTTTGTTAATCACAATAACATATGCTTCAAGAGAGCTCTAATCAATTTTAAAGACAATAAGAAGGCAATATCAATACAAGGAAAAATTGGAATGTCTGTCTATTAGGAAAAACACTGGATAACCCTGAGGGTTGAAATAATAGCATGAAATTAAATTCAGTAATAGAAAGTCATAGGTTGTAAGTCCCTGATGCTAAGAACTGCCTAAATTTATTTATGAAAGGTCCTTCAATAGTCACTGGAGGAAATAAGAATTCTACTGTTTTACTGTTTTAGTTTTTTCAGCCTTGTTACATACACCTACAGTAGGGTCTAAAACATTTTCTAATAGAGGCCCAATGTTTAGAACTGATAAATGATAATGATAACATGAATGGGCTCACAACAAAAGAAAAAAAAAACAAAAAAACCCATGTGCCTGGTCACACACATCAGGGTAGATACTTCCACAAAAAGATACTTTTAGGAGGCTCTAGAAAGTCTGCATGTGCAATATTGTGTGTAATACTTGTCATTCATATTCCAAATAAGGAATTAAACTAGAAAAGGTGCCAAGAAGCATTGCTGTCACTTGTGAAGGAACTCTAACCTGTAGCAGGAGGACAGATCCGTGTGCATGGCACAGATGGCTAAGAAAGTTAGGGCAGCTGCTGCAGTAAGGGCACGAAGGGAGCCCAGAAGACTGGCTAGTGAGGATGTGTCATAGGGCACAGTCCTCCTCATGCCCTGCAAGAGCTGTCCTTGACATGGCAAAGGCTTCATGAAGGATGTCCCGGTCCAGGTCTCCAGCTGCAGGGAGCCCTTGGTGCCCCCTCTCTGGGGCAGGGACAGCAGTGGCCTCACCAATGGGAGCTGGGCTCTGTTTGGGGTGCTGATCTGCCAGGTGAAGGAGCTGCAGGAGATTAGGTCCTGAAGGGAATGAGGAACAAGAGTAGCAGGTGCTCAGTAACAAATGTACTCAGTGACTTCTTTACCTCAGTCTTCACTAACGAGGCCTCCTAGGTCTTTGTGCCTGGAGCCAGAGCTCAAGGCTGAGAGGAACTACCAGCAGTGGATGGGGATCAAGTTGGGAATTAATGGAGTCCTGCAGAGATCTAAACTGAGATGCAAGGCAGAAAGTTGATCACTGTCCCTGGGAAGGATGAACCCCTGCAACAACAAAGGCTGGACCTGACTCTGGCTGGGAGCAGCTTTGTTGGGGCTTGCAGTCAGCAAGCTGAGCACCAGCCAGCAGTGGTCCTGGCAGTAGAGGTGGCCAACAGCCTCCTGGGATATGTGAGCAGGGGCACAAAAAGGAGGTCATGGAGACAGATCCCTTACCTGGTCTCCCCCAGAGTACTGAGTTCAGTTTTGGGTCCACCAATACACAAGATGTCAAAGAACCAGCATGAGTTGAGCAGGGGGACACTGCTATGGTCAGGGCTGGAGCACCTCCCCTTGAGGATAGGATGAAGGAGTTGAGCTGGTTCAGATAGACTCTACAGATATATCACAAGGACAACCACCAAAGAAGGGAAAGAGCTTCTCCAGATACTCAATAGACCTCACATATCAAGAAAATTTGCAAACTGGTTGTTTCAGCTAGAACTTGGAAAACTATTTCTAATCACCATAGCTATTACCATTTTCCAGAATCGCCTTCTGATCAACCTCATGGGGGAAAACCTCTTATTTTTTCCATAGGTCTTTGAAAAAAAAAATGTGCAGAAAATTATAAAAATTTGGTCTAACAGTAAATAAAAGAATACTGCTCAGTGCAGGAGGTTCCCCTCCCACTTTCTGCTTCTCTATGAGGCTAACCACCAGTTTTTACTCATGTAGCTGAGTTATTACAAATCCTTGTTCTATTCTTTCTTTTTATCTTGCCAAATTTCCAACAGTTCTCATAGAAATGGCCCATACTACATGCCTGCATCTACCTTAAAAAGTAAAAAGAAAAAAAGAAAACTTTTTATATGAATTTAAGTCAGATACTTTTGAAAACATGTTAAAGGAAAAACATAATAACCACCCATAACAAAGGTCTTTGATACTAGGCTGGCTTTAATACTCACTGATAAGTAATCACATGAGCATCTTGAAATCTGGGGAAAATTAGTCTTTGGTTGTATTCTTTTCCTGCTCTTTGCTTTAAAGATTTCCCAAATTTATCCATATACTATGGGAAAGAGACCAGTGAATAAATAATAAGAAAAAAAAAAAAGGTCATAAATAAGAAAAGATGAGGTGGGACAAGACATCAAATGCGATACAGAAGAATTAAATGCGAGGAGAGGAAAACTACAACTAGGAGCTCAGGAATAAGGAACAGAAAGGAACAAGGAGGAGGCCAAAAAGCAGGAAAGGAAACGCAGATTGGCTGAGAGGAGATAAGCATGTACCTGAAATCCATAGCTTGAAATAGGACATGATTAAGCAATTATTAAGCATGAGGAAAAGGGTCTTGAGAGAGACAAAGCAGGAATCCTTACCCTTTCCCACAAGAGAAGCATCTCACAGAATCACAGAATTATGGAATGCTTAAGGTTGGAAGGGACCTCCAGAGATCCTCTAGCCTAACTCCCCTGCACATGCAGGGTCACCTAGAGCACGTAGGATCCGAAGGAGCTGTCTCATTCCCAATGACAAACAAGCATCCTGTACACTAGTGCTACTCTGTATAGAGACCATTAGGTGCCATGGCTAATCATAACTCAAATCAGTCCTGATAGGAAACGTATACATAACAGACATACAGATTCAACTCTGCTGATGAATCATAAAGTTATATAAATGGAGATTTGGTGTTGTCACTACTGTTTTCAGGTGTCCAGAAGCCTAGAATCCTCCCCATTGCACATAAAGGTAAAATTCTAATTGCATTACTCATTATTTTTCCACAGGACCCTGGTCTCTACCTATTTGAAACATCTTAAAAGTGTGCAGTGAGACAGAGACTCTGTCTCTATAACTGCATATAGAGAGAACTGATGATGTCAGGGATAAAGTAGCAGAGCACAGCCCTTGACCACTGGAATCTCTCTTTGGCCCATCCATAGATTTCTTACAAGGTGCTAATCAAGTCACTTGAAACACGTTTCCAAAGTTTGGGCAGTAATTCTGTATTCCTCATTTGTTGAGTGCCCAGACCGAAATCTTGAAGCTCAGCGTGATGACTACTCTACTGTAGCAATAGAAGCTGGTAATTGAAAGACTTCTGAGAAGAGGTGGATGTTGCTAGCTATTCTGAAAACATTAGCTCCTCAGCATGTTAGATGGAGCTGTCAAAGCTACTGGGTACTTTTTAGGCTATGTTTTATTTCTCTCTCTAATACAGAGGAAAAATCTCTCTTCTCACAAAGATGTTACAAAGACAGTTTCTTAATGATTTTGGAATATCTCATCTGGTAGTGACAAGCCCACAGAAAATTAATGAGGTTGCCTTATTTCACAGGACATATTTTGAACAGCATGTATTAAATAAAGCCTAGGGTTATACAGCTGCATCCAGAAGCTAAGGATCATAATGACATCATGTATTCCTGATATCTTGATTTCAATAATATGACTATTTCAGCTTGCATAATTGTGACCTATCTGAATGCTAAGCTGCATGTTTCAGCACTCTGTTTCACCAGGTCTACAGATGTGGACGAAAAAGTCCATCTTTTACTATTCAGATGCATCACTTACCTGACCTGGGCTCCACCAGTCTCTGCTTACTCTCCTGTTTCTGTAACCACTTTTTGAGCTATTCTGATAGTCCAACTAAGGATAAACCCTGTCCCTCCCAGCTCCTTTCATCTTTTCCAAAACTTCCATCCCAGTAGCTTTTTCCTGCTTTCTTCTCATAACCTTTCACTGTTGTTTCCCATCTCTGTCTCTATGTTAACTTGCCAGCACATTGCCTTATCCACTTTCTGTCCTGCTATGGCTGTCGCTCTGTGAAAAAATTCCTGTGACTACACTGATTTTTCTGCTACAAATTAATTCTCTCCTTTCTCCCATTTTTCCCACCTCTAGCTAAAGAGCCTGAATATTTCCCCAACTTAATCAAAACCTCCCACACATTCAATTGTAGATGCCCTTAACTCACCCCTTAACTCACTCCTTTCTTCTCTCCCTTGTAATTCTCTCCTCCTGACACAGGAACATTTGTGCCTGTTCCTGTAGTCTCTCTTCATCCCATGCTATAAGTTAATCTCTTCCTGATCATTTACACCCCAATATTTTATACTCATCTCCTTAAAAGTTTGTGTTCACTGTGATATCAGCATGCTCTAGGTTTCCTATCATGAGTTAAAAAAAAGCAAAAAAAACCCCTCAAACCACCCTGAATTAAAACACGCATGACCCAACTTGTCTCTCCCCCTAATAATCCCCTCCCTTTCCCATATTCATCACTAAACTTACAAAATATCACATCTAAGTTTAGTCTCAAGAGTTCTTCTCCTCAGATATATTCTTCCCACACTCACCATCTGTCTAGGTTTGCATATGTTTACATCTGCAGGTCTCCCTAGCCACAGAAGCAAGTCAATCAAATGTCTCTTCCCCCTTGCTTTAAGATGTTGTGATTTCTGGGAGTTAAAAGCAGAAGATGAGCTAAAAACTGTCTTTTAGTATTCATGGTGCAGAGGTATCCTATAGCCTATTTAAGGATTCCTACAATGATTTAGGATGCTAACAAGGACAAAAGGAAAGGGAGGGTTTATCATTTTTCTCTTTCCCTTCCTCTGACGGGATTTTGAAAGAAGAAGAAAGATGTGGAGAAATATAATATCAGAAAGATATGCGGAGTCCTGGACAACATGGTTAATAATAACTGCAAAGCCAGAAAATGAGCCACAGACAACTGGTGGAAGAGGGGGATGATAAAGTATCAGGGGGGATGATAAAGTATTTGCTTTGTCTGCTAAAACTAAAGAGTGTACATGATAGGATCCAGCTTCCACAGCTTCAGTAGGTATATTTATTTTTAAAAAAAGAATGATATATGCACACATAAGTGCAAGCATAACAGGGTGAAGGCAGGTCACAGTATGCCATCTCCCTCAGGATTAGAATATGTCAGCCAAACCAGACACACAGAAAATAATCTGCTTCAACAGAAAAAACAAGTCCAGCATAGTGTATTGTTATTTTGAATCTCAGATTTTATATCAGATCATATAGATGTTATTATTCTAGCTCTTTCAAACATTCACATTTCTGCCAATCCTCTGTTGTAGCTCTATGGTTCAATGAGCCAACTAATTGTAACAGTTAAAATGCACATTACTGATTATATCCTAAGCTACTAGAGCATTCTAGACCATAATCTAGATTCTCAGATGCTGTAAACTAGCAAGTTGCTATTAGAGTAAATGAAAATATTCCATTTTATAGTAGGTGAGGAACTGGCTTGAATACTTCAAAATGAAGTAAAGTCTTTTTCATGGGTAGATGGCAGAGATGTGTTGACACTTCAAGTATAAATTGGGTAAAACATGAATCAGATAGAACACAGACTCTGCCAGTAAAAAGTCCTCGTTAGCTAGACAGAGCAGGCATCTTCCTTTCAAAAGTGGTTTTTTACAGTCTGCTGAGTTCTCTTACGATATTAGAATCAAATGAAGAGGATGTTTGGAGGTTTTCATGATGGATAAATTTCTCTTACTAATCATGTACTGTTTGTTTGAGGGCATCCTTCTTGTAAACATATACAAATACTACAGGAAATATTGAATGTGAAGGAATCAAAAGCTGCACAATTAATTGAAAACACACCTGTCTCTTTCCTGCATCTCGGCATCTCAGGAGGGAGCAAAGAGCAAATCCAAAGGCCACTGAATTAATATGATGCCCCATAGCTGCTTTTGGCCAGTTGAATCAAAAGCTACAGGACAAAACCTCTCCATAAGACAAAAAGGTTTAATTCCCTAAGGTATTAATGCTTTCTCTTTGTTCAGGCCCTTACATGATGTGTTTCTAGTCCATGTTGCATCAGTGCGAGTAAATATACAAAGTGCAAAGACACGGGCAAGTAGGATCAAGAACTTTAAAAGCTATTAAAATCAAGAAATATAAATACCTCTCTGTCTTGTCCAGAGCCACTGGGACAAACAGGTCCTATCTTTAATCTTCTTGAGGTGTCGGTTAAACAAGCTTCACTATTTCCACTTTCATCTCTCATTCCTTGTCCAAATGGATAGTTGTCTAAAAAGACGGGATATTGAGCATCTACATTGTCAAAGCCTATCTGAAAATTCAGATTTTTGTTGCCTCTCTCCACATGAGAATCAAATACGTTTGCAGTTGGAAAGATACTACTCCTTCCATAGGTTTCTCTTTCTTCACTATATGGGTAGGAATCCACCATAGAGCAATTTCTATCAGCGGGCAGGAAAGAAGATCTAAAGCCAATCACTGGTGATGCTGTGCCCTGCTGCCAGTGAGATAAAGGATATCCAGCATGAAGGGGAGGTTGCTCTGTCACATCCAAACCAAAGATGTCCGCCACGAAAAAATTTTCTTCGGGATGATGCAAATGTGATGAACCATAAAAAAAAATTTCATTGCTAACTTCATCAGCTATTTGGTCAAATCCCAGTCTAATCTGTCCAGCAGAACGAGAATGGAACGGCGAATAAGAAGCTTGGTCATTAACATGTCCATCATGAAATTCATCTTGTGACAAAGGCATTCCCCCAAAGTATGCCATGGCTGATTCTCTTCTTCAGTCTCGTTGTCCTCAGGGGAATTTTACAGTAGTTCTAGGGTCAAATGGGTAATGCTTCAGTACTGGAGCTACATATTGACTGAAACAAAGAGAATAATAATAGTTAAATCAAAAAATTATCTAGCAAGTTTTGAATTCTTCACTTCAGAGCTTTCTCCACAGGATGTAAAGATTTTCTTTATCTGAAGAACATAAAAATTTTTTCACCCAATCCTTATTCTCAGCCTTAAAATTACCTCACCTCCCTCCTGATTTCTAAATGATATTGACAGAGTGGCTGGAACAATCGAACAAAAATACTAACTCTCACAATCATTAAAGAAACAATTTCCTTATTATTCACATCATGTTACACTGGTATAGCACACTTACTCCAAGATTCCAAAAGAGACATGTAGCAAAGCTTCCTGTTGAATGTCACCTTAACTGAAGTTTTATTCATGTCCTCTTGTCTTTTCTGTGCCTGTGAAAACTTTCTCATATTCCTTTTATCCTAGTACAGTCAGGTGAAGAAAGAGGTTAAGCAAGTGAAAGAACAGGGATGAAACAGAGAAGACTTGCTTCTCCACTTAGTATTCAAAGAACCCCCAGGAAGCTTGAACATGGCATATAAATCAAAACAAAAATAAGTCAATTTCTACCTTTTTTCTTTCTTTTTATAAAACCAATATTTCTTCAAAGCCTGAAGTTATGTCTCTTTTAGTAAATTAACAGGACAAGGCATGGGCTCCTGCAGTGGCTTAGCATCATTCATGCAGTTATAAGCATGCTCTCTGATATGATTTTGGCATTTGCCAAGTCACACTCTCCTGGGCATGATGGAGATGGACAGCATGTATTGGATACCACTCCCAGTAGGCATGACACTACCTTTCCTGGGAAGAGAGTTGAGCTCTAAGGACCAATTCTGTGCTGCCTATCCTCAAGACCCTGACCCGTTAAATTTACTAGCACAGATGTAATCTAAAAACAGAAAACACACCCAATAGCACTACCACACAATGTACACAATTGTGTTAGGGACTTTACCACATACAAGTAACATCTGATTTAATAATTTAGTAAAAAAATGCATTCCCTAGCACATAAAAAGAATACTACTGAGATGAAAAGTGCTTTCAGATATTACTTAAACTTAGCAGCACAAATAGCTTTTCCAATATGTCCCCAAGATCTATACTGTGTTACCTTACATAATAGAGCCTTACAATGAAAATCTATATTACAACAGAAGGTATTCACAGGTTTAGGTACTTCTGTTTTATTTGAAATCAAACTTCAGGTGACATACGCTCCTGGTATCCACAGTCAGGAAAGAGAAATGAAATTTTATATAGGCTGAAATTATTTCTCCTAAGTTATTCCCATCTATTCTTTCAAGAACTCTGATTTCACATGATGCATGCTTCAGTTTGCTTTGGCTGTGTTGAAAAAAGTATTTGTGAAATTAGACTAATCAAAATGGCACATACCACTCAGGTTGAGGCCCTGCACATTGGACTTCTCTTAAAATTTACAAGCCAACTCCTATATATTTCTCTCAAAGTGAATCCTGCCTTTCCCCCCTTTTTTTGGACCAAAATGACATCCTTTTTTTCTAGCAGAAAAAAAAGTTGACTAAACATCAAATTAACTTCTTTCTTTTTAACTAAATTGTCCTCATCTACATCTGTCCTCATCTGTGATCTACAACTTCCTCTGCTCTCCATTTTATATACAATGGGTGTATAAAAGAAAGAAAAAGAAAAAGAATATTTCCATTAAATTAAAAGAGATTTTTTTACTCTATTTTTACTCTATTTTTTTTCTCCTGAAAATTGGAATGTTTCAGGAAAAACAAAAAAGAAAAGAATAATCTCTCCCTCCAGACTCACCTCCCTTAAAAAGCAGTGGTTGTATGGAAGCCTATACAGCCGATACACAAGCCGAGAAAACACAATACTTCTAATATACTTCCAACAGTTTCTAAAATATTTTCTTTACAGTCTAAACAAGTTCTGTGATACTATAATGATATTAGAAATGTCTGATAACTGTCCTGCTTTCTACATGACTAAAGCTTTTATGTGTAACATCACAATTCTTAGAGAAATGGACAAATGTACACACACACACACTCATTGACTCCATATACCTACATATGAATGTTTATTTCCTGTACTACTTTTCAGAACTTTTGCTTTTCTAGATTTTTTTTCAAGGTTAGATATAGTGGCAAAGGTTGGAAAGAGTATGGTCTGTTTATTCTACTCCCCTGTTTTTTTTCAGTGGAAAGAGAAGTCCCCATGATATGACCACATAACACAGTGGGCTCACCCTCTGAGTCCAGACCTCTGTAAAGGGAGGTCCAGTTAAACGGCAGAAACACAGGCAGCATTGCTTGTATTACTAAGTCTCTATTATATAGGTATATATCTAGATATATACATATAGATATTTAGATATATAGGTATATATCTAAAACTAACCAGCTAGACTCAGCACATCATGTTGAAAATCCCTCTGTTGTAAGTCTCAGTTGTTATGCTGTTAGTAAGGTTAGGCTCTGCATCTGGGCCAGCTCCCCATCCTATCTGAAACACCATCTAAGCTTCAAGAAAGGCTTTGGCTCTTTGCCAGCCACTGTTACTGCGTTTGAATCATGTGAAGCGCATTGACAACCTTTAAGATTCAAAATGTACAACTGAGGCCAAAACTTTAAAAATTATAATAACAAAAAAAAATTTAAAAAGCTTCAAGGTTCATTTTCTTTGCCTCATGGTTTGTGAACTCAAACTTCTTTTTTTTTTTTTTTTTTTTCCCTCTCTTCTTCTTTTTTTTTTTCCTTTCCCTGGAATTCTGAAGATTTCCCTTTTCTTTTAAATGAAAACTGTTGTTTTTACATAATCAAATAATTCTGGCATCTGGGACTTTAAGAAAAAATCCCATCACACTGTAAAACTTTTAGACAAACCAAATAACTTGACAGCATTGCACAATGGTCAGAACACAATAGCTGATGTCCAAGTATACAGAAACACTTCCTCCAGCACACACAGCCATTCTAATAATGATGATCTGTGCACTGTGGGCTCTGTTTTTACATTTAACTGGAACCCAAAAGCACACTACTGGGCCATTTGCTAAGTGTCAAGAATATCTGTCGCAACCTCTTACCTGAAACACATAATTTGTTGGAAGAATATAGTCGCCTATTTCTTCCTGCTCATGTTCTGATGACGTACGTGCTTTCAATATCAAGTGGGCGTAACTTGTTCATCAGAAACCCTCCTTCCTGTCCGACCGGTTTGCTAAGTAATGATTCTTTCCCGTATCTTCCTTCAGGGAAATTTCAAGCATAGGTAGCAATAAAAAGGGAATACCTTATTCGTCCTCCTCATTATTTGGTAGCCTTGCTTTTTTTTTTTTTTTTTGTTAGTATGGTGGTAGATGATATCACACTTTCAGGACAGGTGCCAGGCATGCTTACAATAGCAAGACAATTTCTCCAAGCAGAAGGAGGATTAGGAAGACTTCTGCATTCCATAAAGGTCCTGAAATATTTCTCTTCTTCACCTTCAAGCAGCTTCCAGCTAGCTGCCGGAGGGTTCAAGGCTTCTTAGTTCTGCTCTCAGGAGAGAAAGAAGGTAAACCTCTTGCATGGTAGAGAGGCCCTCCAGCTTTGGCTCTTCACTGTGCAGATCTGGGAAAGTCTCATGGGGAAAACAACCTTCTTGAGGCTGGAATGTTTCCCAAAGACTGATGAAACCTTTGCCCCTCTGTGGAGGGCCTGCTGGAAAGTCACACACATTGTCCTTGAACATGAGCAGCCCAGGACTCCCCATAAAAGGGAGAAGTGGGAGCTGCTCCAGGCACAATGCTGAAGGAGCTCCCTCAGGGACCATCTGCCTCCACACTTCATACCATTCCTTAAAAAGGTATAGGCTGCCTGACTGAAGTGGCTATTCACAATTCACACAAAATCCCAATCCTAATCTGCTCCAAAGTTGCCACAGGCATGAAAATATTCTCCCAGAGGGTGAGGGAGCTGGGATAAACAAAACAGTATTTCAGCTATAAAAGCCCAGGCAGTAATACTGAACACATTAGGATAAAAGTTAATAATTAATTGCAGATATCTTACATCTGATAACAAAATGAGTGAAAGCAGAATCTGATAGAGCATTATGGGGAAAATTCTGCCCTTCAAAGTACCGCAAATGCTGACAAGGATGTTATGGTGATTTAAAAGCATTTAGTCAAGGACAAAACGTATTTGAGTTGTTGAAAGGTGGCACATTTTTCCTCGTACATTCTCAAACCCCTAAAAAGTCAATGGGCTCAACAAACTACTTGGTGGCATTTATGCTGCACTGTAGTCATTACCAGTGATTATTGTGAAGCGACGCAGAAGGAGAGAAACACAACAATTTTGGGAGCTGCCATTTCACAATTTATGGCAGCACAACTATATGTTGTTGTTTCATCTCACAGTAAATGGATATTATAAAACAAGAACAGTGAAAACGGTGACAACGTGCACAGAAGGAGTTTGTATTCCCAAGCAAACACAGAAAGCTATGTACGTAATGGGAATGGACATGGGACGTCTCCCTGTCTCTCCACAGTGATTTCCAGAAAGCTATGAAGTTTTCTTTCTTTTCTTTTCTTTTTTTTGAAAACCCTGAACATTTTCAGTATTTTAATTAGGCTTGAAGATCTTCATTATTTTTATGCTTTCTGTTTCTCATCTGAAGAGAAGACAGGAGACTACTGAGTCACTTTATTTGCTAAATCCCTCCTGAGCTACCAAGAACCTTGCCCTCTTCTTTCCTCTGGCTCCTGGTACATCATGTCTAGAGACCAGCTTTAAACCAGAGCCTCCCCACTGGCATGCTTCCCTTTCTTCCATTAGATGCTCTCACTGCTCCACCAGCTGGTAGGAGTCTGCATTTCACTAACATTAAAGACATCTCATTTGATTAGCTGTGAATGACTTTGTATTTCTGATGAAAAGCAAAGCTGCAGGTGAAGAGCTGGCTCTTATGCTCCATAAGAAAATACACCATGTTCAGCAAACTCTTTGCTCTCAGTCTCATTCCACACACATTTTAGAGCATCTGAACTTCACCCTTGGTACAGCAGGGATGCAGGTAAACTTTTAAATATAACAGGTTTGCAAAAGCATCCATGGGGCCAGAAACTGAACTTAACACAGAGCCAATGAGGAAACTGCTCCCTTTCATAACAAATCAGACAGTTCATGTTCCTGTTCTCCAGTGCCACCTACTGTCATTTCTCCAAAACTAGCATGTAAAAAAAACCCTAGAGATCATCATGTCAAGCACAACAGCAATTAAGCTGTTGTCTGGCTACAAGGAATGCCATCATATTTATCACCATCACTGTCAAATATGACCCCTGTCAGGAAGTTGCCCTTTATGAGAAAGATTCACGATGGCTGAGACCATGCTTGCGGGGGATGCTCTATTACTTCTCTTGGATGAGTGCTTTAAACTACAGCTGCACCAAGACAATGGCAAAGCATCAGCAAAACTGCACCCCAATGTTACTGTTTTTTTTTTTTCTTGTTTTTTTTTGGGGGGGGGGGCATAGCCTTTTTTTTTCTTTCTATTTCATAGCCCTCAAAGAGAAGGAATTATGCTTTCTTACCTGCTTAGAGAACACCCAGAAAGGTAGATGCTACTTGAAAGAACTAAAGACAATAGCAAGAAAAATAAAAGTGCCAAACAAAATATGGTGGTCGAGTCAGTATGAAATGATTAATCGCTAAAGGAGACCTTTATTGTCAAGGGCAAAAAGGACTTTTAAAGTTGTGAAAACACTCCTTACCTTCTATTTATTAACAGAGAACAAATCAGGAAAAAGAAGGGGCAGGTGGGTGGGGTAGAAGTGTCACTTTTCCATGGGGGAGAAATAGAAAATGTTTTATGTGGAAAACATTCTCACAGGCTCTGACACCTAAGTACAATATATAAGGTTACCAACACCCTCCTGATGTTTGAAAATGCTGTTGCAAAATACCTACCTCCACAGTCTGCCCACACAAACCAGCCATGACTAAATGCAGATTATGGATTTTAACCTCTCCTTCTATTTGAACACCTTTTGTACTTTGATCCTGTAAAAGAAACAGCATGCTCTACCATACAGAATTGTTTTTGGAAAAAACAATGACACCAGCTTCTAAAGATCAAATTACTGAGAAAATTAAGTGCTGAAATGGAAAGCAGACTCATCACAGCCATCCTAAAAGAGTTACAGACAGGCAGCAAGGCAGATCAAAATATATATGCACATAAACCTAATATACATTAGGTGACCTAAGAAAGGAGCTTAAGTACTTCAGAAAAAGAGAAGGCAAATCTCCCAAAGCTGAGGACTGCTTAAACCCAAAATCTTTGTTCAGATTGCTTTTGAAATTCCATTTTGTGTTCTTCCATTTCTCTTACCTTCCATGAATTTTCTACTGTGTTTTCGTATGCTGTTCCTTCCACCTCCTCATTGTCGTGTGCCTGTTCAATGGCTTTCTGTGAAATTCAGCTTTGTCATTCCAGCACACTCAAAAGTGTTTACTGACCTTCTGTAAAATTATTCATATCACACACTGTACAAATATATGTATACAAAAACCAGTCTTGTAATAGTGGCACATTGTTAAGATAAGCTCCCTTAGCAACAACAGCAGGTTTTCCGATATGGAAAATTCAGTGAGCTGTTTCATCACCATTCCTGAGATCCTCTCATTTTGAAGCTCACTGTGCATGAGTCCCTATGGGACTTCTGGGGCAGAGAGAGAGGACAGAGAACATCTTCGAAGTGCAGAGCTCTACCACCCTGAATTTGAATCTGGGTGACCGAGCCAAGGCGACTTGGCTATTTCAGCCTGACAAAATGACTCCACGTTGCTCCAAGAAGCTGTTAATATTATGATTGCCTTGAAGAGGACTTAAGCTGGGCCTTAAAGCCAGCTGCTAAGCAGCTGTAAAAGAAGGAAGAAGCAGTGGTGACAAAGACATGCTGGTTCCCCTTTTTGCTGTGAACTGACCTTTGGTTCATGTAACATACCAGGCCAGTGGGTGATGAAAAGTATCAAACAAGGTTGCTTATTATTCTGATGAAGCAGGATTGAATCCTTTTCTCTGGAAGATGACATGAATAGCTTCAGTGAAATCAGTGGAATCATACCAATATAGATCTAGCCTAACAACTGAATTAGTTCTCCTGCCTAATCAAAGAAAATATATTAGTAGCTGTTCAAGCATAAGAACATAGGCAACCTAAGGTCAAAATAAAAACTCATTTACACAGTTATTAACTTTGTCTTATTTTGCATTTCCCCTGAGCTGCTTTGCTTATATATGCAGTACTGCACATAGTCCAATACTACAGCATCTTAAGTAATGCAGTATTTCTGAATTTTCCCTAATTCTTGCAACTAGCTTGCTTCTTGTACCTCACTATTTTAATTTCATCATATAATTGCTCACAGTACAAATGAAAATTTGAGTGTAAAAAAAATGTCTTTTGCAAAAATAAGTCAGTGGGTGTATATATAATTTCTAAACCAACTGAACAGCATTCCTTATATGCAACTAAGGAAATAAAACATTTGCTGAGATAGCTAATTTGACTGCATACTTAAGTTGCCTATACACGCCAGCAAAGTATTCATTATTGTTTTCATTAAAACCTTACCTGTAGCATGAAAGCCAACAATAATTTACTTGAGTTTTCACATAAATAACGCAAAGGTACTGCAACAATACATTTTTTTTTCTGCAAATTGCTATGTGTAATTAAGATCACAGCAACTTTCCATCATGATTGGATAGGTCTTGGAATCAGTGGCTGGTAAAGAGGTATCTTCTGTGCCCAGAATATCGTGCTTCATCTCTCACCCCAAAGTACATTTCCTATCAATGATACCCATACAGATGCTTCCTATAAGAGCAGCTACTCTCTGTTGCATTATATCTGGATTGGTTAGGTACCCTTAAAGTGGCTAAGTGATAAACTGTCAACGCAACAGTTCTGCAGCTCTATACATACATACTACAAAATAAAAATAGAAGTACTGATTGTAGCAATACTGTAGCAACCATGGCTTTGATGTGTGTGACAATTTGCATTGTTTGGAGCAGGCCAGGCAACCATTACTCTGCTTCTGCCCCTGCGGCCTTCCCTCCTTGCTGCCTTCCCCTAGTGCAGTAATAAAATGGTGCTGAGCAGGTCGTCTGAAGTCAGCAGCAGGATGCTTCACATGAGAAGCATCAGAGGAGATGAATCAGAGGGCAGCTTCTGAGGCCTACGCAGGGAAGGGGAAAAAGAGAAAATTGTGATGCGGTAAGGATGTCCCAGGGGAAAATGAGAAGAAGGATTTGGTTTGTGGAACTGAAAGAAGGAATCTACAGTATTGCTTTACACAGTCATCTCTGTGGTTTGCTGATGCCTTCCAGGGAGAAGTTCCCAGCTCACAGTGAGATTAGATCATGTGGGAAGAAATGGGTTGTTAAAGGAGAAGAGGCAAAAAGCAGCAATGTTCTTCCCACTCAAAAACCCTGGAAACTCCTCATCCAAATGATGAATAGTCTTTATCCAGACAGTGATTTCCTGATACTTTCTTGGGAAGATAACTACTATAAAAGAAACAAATGGTATCATCCATTATTATGGCCCATGAACAGCTAAAATCACCATTTGCCAAGGACATGAATGCAGGCAAGGATAGAGACACTTTCCACCACAGTTGCTGGAGAAGATGAAAAAGGGAAAGTTTTTAGGTTTGGTACTTTCCCTACGCTTGACACCGATCTCCTGTCACCCCTGAACCTCTAGACTATATCTAGCTTATCACAGAATCACAGAATGTTTAAGGTTGGAAGGGACCTCTAGAGATCATCTAATGCAACCTCCCTGCTCAAGCAGGGACACCTAGAGCATGTGTCACATGGTTTTGAAGGTGGGTTTTGAAGGCCTCCAGAGAAGGAGACTCCACAGCCTCCCTGGGCAGTCTGTTCCAGAGCTCTGTCACCCTCACAGTAAAGAAGTTCCTCCTCGCATGCAGATGGAACTTTCTGTGTTGCAGCTTATTTTGCTCTCATTTTAAGTTCACCCCAAAATAAGAAACTTGCGTTGAGTAGAAATTTTAGATTGTTTACTATGTCCCTTTGTAAAAGTAGCACAACTATCTCCTCTCTTTCCCAAGCAAGTACTGAACTTACCACATCCATTTGATGCAAAGTCTGGAAACAGTAGATTGCTCCATTCAATGCTGGTGGCATCACTGCAGAATCTGTCCTGCTTCTGAAGCTGAGACAGCTGACTGGAAACCCACAGTGTTCAGGTTGAACATGATCTTGAGATTAGCCTAAAAGCAAAGGAATACAGAATTCATTGTAATTTTAGTTCAATTATTTTTATTTATTTATTTATTTAGGAGGAAGAGGAGGGAGAGTTTTAGAATACTGAAAAGAGCAAACAGACCAATCTGATGCCATACCTGTAACTGACTTAAGTAAGTTAATTAATTAACTAAATCAAGAGAATTTGAACACAACTGATACACAGGTGCTGAAGTGTCGCCTTGCAGGGTTGTCTATTTTCCTCCAGGATGTGATATAAAATAAAATATTGTAGCAGAGTAACATGTCCTTCCTTTGAGGCCTCGTGTCATAACATATTACAACCATTTGCCATTCACAAGAGAAAAGCAAGGGCATGGCCAAACCTTTTGGTAATATGAGCTACAAAATGGAGTTGGTCCCTGCCAATGATACCAAGAACATGTATTGTCCAAATATCGTATCCTTTATGACTATAAAAGTTAAATTTACTGTGACTGTAAATAATCAAACAGACAGAAGAGTTCTGTGCTGGAATTTGAGAATATTGCATGGTTTTATCTTTGGACCCCAAAAAGCTTCATCCACAAAACTGTTTGAACATCTGCACCTATCTATGGTTGCCTCAACACAGAATCACAAAATGGTTCAGGTTGGAAGGGACCTCTAGAGATCATCTAGTCCAGTCCCTCTGCTCCAGCAGGGACACCCAGAGGATGGGGCACAGGTGGCATCCAGGCGGGTTTTGAAGATCTCCAGAGAAGGAGACTCCACAACCTCCCTGGGCAGCCTGTTCCAGGGCTCTATCTCCCTAACAATAAATAAGCTCTTCCTCATATGCAGATTAAACTTCCTGTGTTTTAATTTATACCCATTATTCCTTATTCTGTTGCTGGCCACCACTGAGAAGAGTTTGGCCCCATCCTCTTTACATTCTCCCCTCAGGTACTTACACACATTCATCAGATCCCTTCTCAATCTTCTCTAGGCTAAACAGGCCCAGCTCGCTTAGTCTTTCCTCACAAGACAGATGTTTGAGTCCATCATCTTTGTCACTCTGCGCTGGATCCTCTCTAGAAGCTCCACATCTCTCTTGTACAGGGGAGCCCAGAACTATAGCCAGTACTCCAGGCACTGCCTCACTAGAGCTGAGAGAAGGCATCTTACAATGCAGATCAGGACTTCATTTAGTTTAAGAACTATTTATTTTATGTTTTCAATTACCATTCATTGTTATTTATTATATTATTATATACCAATTACCATTCAGGTATTATCTGGATTGTTTGGGATTTGGTTTTGTTTTTCACATACTTTTTGGACCTTCCAATTTAGCAGATATCATGTTAATGATGGTACAACTGCACTTGTCATCTCGGTGTAAGGGAACACATTAACAGAGGCCTGTTTAATTCCAGGTGAGTGAGGTCTACATTACAACTCCAAGTACAGGATAAATCAAGATGGCCCACATAGAGGCTGAAGCTCACTTACAATATATTGTCCATGTCCTTTACCACTGCAAGTTAGAAATTGGTTCATTTAGTTGATCTACTTTTATATTCTTGATTCAAGTAGAGCTATGCAAACTTCATGCTTGCTGTAAGTTTATAAAGAAAGCTATTTTAACTAGGATATGCTTTTCATAGATGCAAATGCACATGCAAAACAGAAAGAGCTTTGATATTGAGATTTCCCCCCCCCGAGGTTCAAGTATTTTATCATTTTAATAATTTTTCATTTTCCTATTGCTCTCACTTCTAAAACACCTTTTGCATTAGCTCCAAGTATTATGATTCCTTCCAAATTCCTCTGGAGGGCACTATTACCATAACTATACAATTATCTACAGATGGATGTAATAGAGATAAACACTAAATAGGCTTGTTGGCAGAAGGCACAATGTCTTTTAACCAAGACAGCTTCTTTATTGCTGCTTGCATTTTCACTCTGCTTTAGCAGATAAGAGAAATCCTAGCTATGAAGAGAAACACAAGTTAGAAATTATTATTGAAGAGGTTTGTCTCAGATTTCCCTCCCCCCTCCCCGCCTTCAGTTAACATCTTTCTTAGCATGTACTAGAATTCAATACATTCCTCAAGGACTTTTTTTGAAAAATTATACCCCCAGGGCACAGCCTGAATTACCAGACTTCGGGCTGGATAGGGACAGAAGAACCTCATCTCTTTCGGACAGGCTCTTCCTCTTGTCTGTACTCACTCCTCTACCCTGAAGCTGGACCAGTCCCTGCAAGACCTTCCTCCATGCTCCACAGAATTATAAACTTGTCCAGCATGGTAGCATTAAAGAGAGGGAAGGGTATTTCAGAGAGGAATGAGACTGTAACATAGCAAGCAAGGTTTCTTACTAGCTGCATAGCTTTAAGAGCCAAGAAGGAAATCAGAAATAAATCTCACTATTCAATGGATAGTCCTGCCAAGAAACAGGGTAAATCCTTGAAAGTCTGCAGAGGTGAACTTTGATGTGAATGTGTGTGTCAAATCCTTTCGCCCCCTTGTGATCATGCATAATATTACACCACGATCATTTTCATCTGAGGGCCCTCTGGACTCTTTTAAGGTATCAGGGTTGACAGCCACCCTCTGAGAGTTCAGATTTTGATTTTCTTTTCCCTTTGCATCTCCTGAGAAACATCATGATTAAGAACAAAAATTATTTTCTGTGCTTTAGCTCCTTCTTTTGTCTTTTCCTTCTATGATTTGCACTTCTTTTTTCTTTTTTTTTTCTTTTTTTCCAATTACATCAAAAATTGGTTCACTGGCTACAATATTTCCCTGTGAGTTTTTATAGGAAGTAGCATAGCAAGGTTATAAAACTGACAGGGTCTTGGGATCATATATCATACAGAAGAAAATTGCATTGACATAATGGGTTTTAAATTAGGTCATCAAGCAAAGAAAGTAAGTAAGAGGGAAGGATATATTTCATTTATGTCAAGAATTATATACAACATAAACTGATTATATTCCCAAAGAAGAATCAGCATGTACAACTAGAATAGTATAGAATGCTAGAATAAAAACTAACAGAGGTTTTGAATTCTTTTGAACTTAACTTGGGTTTCGCATTGTTATTTCCACTAGTAAAGACCTCCTTGTTCTTTTTCATTGATCCCTTTCCCATTTTGACTTGAATTTTCTGCTTCTAATCATCACCTAATTCAAAGGCAGTCTCCACACATGTGCTGTATTTCAGACTCTCCCCTTGCTCCTGACACCTGCATTGCCACACTGCACATACTGAATTCTCCATTTCAGCATTCTCCAATTCAGCATTTGAAGCATTCTGTTTCAGAGGAGAAGAATTTTAAAAACGTGAAAAGGAATGACATGAACTTTTCAAATAGATGTAAGAGGGAACAAGAAATGATAGGTCAGATTTTGGGTACACCAACCTTGACACTGTCCTTTTAAAGCACTCCCCGGGCAGCTTTAACTTTCGCAACCAGCACTCAAGCAGCCGCTCACCCTAGGGCCCAGGCAGCTTGGCAGGATGACAGAGGTCAGCATTTCACAAGAATGAACAATTTCTCCAATATACAAGGCAGGCATTTAGCTTGCTCTCTTTTCACCTGTCCTTTAAAGTTTAAACCCAGACTATCATAGGTACTGCGCACAATGCAATGAAAAACCCTCTTTCTATTAACCCTTTGAACCCTTGTGATGAGAAGCGATATCCTGACAATTTTAAACTGAGGGACAGAAGCCACACAAGGGCTCTCCTTTCTCTCCCCAACCTTCCACACCAGCTTATTTTTCTTACATACTTTCCTTCTCAAACAAGCCCCTATCACCTCTTCAACTCAATTGCAGAACATAAAAAATCTTGCTGTTCTTGCAGAGAGCTCCAAATGTGAGTATGAGGGGGGCAGCATTTTGACCAACCCCCCTTTTTAGATTACCACATTCCTTTCTACTTTGGATGCATTTAGGCTAGAGTAGTATGTATTTCACTTTGATGCAAAATATTTTGTGGTGGGGGAGGGAATCTCCAGCAATAAAGTGCTTCACCAAGACATGCACAACTTGCACATTGAGGCCCAAGGAAACAGACTGCAGGAAAACAGTGTCTTTTTAGTGAGTCCTTATCAAAGAAGTCCTTATCAAAGAAGGCTGTGTGTATGCATTTTAGTAACCTCCGAGGGGTTTGGCTGAAACCACTATAAATGATCCCATGCATGGAAGCTCAGTTAGCCATCCAAATCATGAGGACAATTCTGTGTGACTTTGGCTCAAGCGCACTGCTTTTGTGCCTCCCAGCTCCCTCAGGAAGCACACAGGTCATACAGACAAGAAAAAGGGAAAAAGGGGGAGCCATCCTGACGCTGAGGAGTCTATAGAGAGTATACAGACAGTGAAGAAACACTGTCTTGCACTGCAGTTTTTTGATTTAAACTTATTTTTTCGTTTACTGCTCTTTACTTCTGATACCTCCAGTGGAACAGTTAAAATTCAGCTATCACTTTTTTCAGGCTCATATTGTTGAAATCTTCTGTTGTACCACTGAAATATTTGGACAAGAGAAAAATCCTTCTGCAGCTAAGCATCTTGCTGAAAGAGAACCTTACTCAAAATCACGCTCCTTTTAGAAAGAAATTTTTGATTTTTTTTTCTCCTTTTTAAGTGATACTTCTTTTTTTTTTTTAAGACAGTTTACAGAAAGATAGGTGGGCCGTAAGGGCCATTGTTCCTACATCCAAAAGAAGGCAAAAGTTTGTGAGCCATTCCGATCTCTGAGGGCTGAATTTCCAGTAGAAATCTCTAGAGCTTGTCCTGAAGTGGATCTTGCTTCAGTGAATTCAATTTTCCAAGATCTAAAGAACTGAGAAAGTAAAACAGATGACAAGTGCTCAAGGTGAAATTCTAGCCCCTTTGGAAGTTAACAGGGCTTTTTGTCACAGACTTCAGGACTTTACCCCACTTTAGACAGCAAAGCACAAAATTCTCATGCAAGATTTAAACGTTTATTGTATAAGGCTGAGTTTGGGAGTAAATTGCGAATAATG